CATTATATGTTATAGTTATATTACATTTTATATCACATTTATATTATATTTTATAATATTCTTATTCCTGATATTATTACCTCCTCTATTATTTCTACTTCTATTAAAAATATTATAACTAATATTACTATAGTTGTATATTATATTATACTATTGCTACCTTGTTTTGAGTTGAAATCAATTAATAAAAATCTTTATTTGAAAATAACTAGTGGTTAATGATTTTTGTCCATTATCCTCACTACTTGGTTACACTGTGGGGCGGCTGGAGTGATTTTCGAGCTTGATATATTAAATTATTTGTTAATATTCCGTGAGTGTTTTGAAAGAATTTTAGCTCAAAATTCTGAAAGTTTTTGTTTAAAGTGTGTTTAATCAATCTCCTAAAAGATATGTAACAATTTTTTGAGCAGATGGCTTGACCAAGTTTTAAATTCGATGGTATTAATGTATTGTCAAAAGAGTTTAAGAGTTTCATTAGAGTGTGGAAGGCATTGGAATACTTAACCTAGTTTCAATATTCATAGGCACTAACAATCCACTTATATTTTTATGTAGGATTACGTAATTTTCCATCCCTTAAGACAGATAGAGTTATTTGTGTATTCAGGTTTTTTAAAAATTAAAAAAAAATATATATATATATTATATATATTTAAATTCATTAAACCAATAAATAAATATCTGTTAAAGCTTTGTTCATCAACTGACACATACTTGCAAATAACGAGACCTGATGAAGAGAAAGCATCCAAAGAAAATGCAGAAGACCATGATGAATGATAAGCTCTCAGACGGACACACTGCTTCCTCTGCTTTCTATAGCAAAACAATAGAGGTTCTTCTCCTTGTGCTTCATAAACCACATCTGTCAATGATGCCTAAAAGCAATTTTGCAACATTATACCAGTGCAGTGATAATAAATGTCAGAGTTTGGTAATGTCAAATTTGCAACTATATCTTGTTTATTGCAGTTGATTTACTGAGGTTATAACCACTCACAGTTGTATATTTATTTTTACTTAATATTAAATACCAATGTGTTCTGAAGTGTGACCGCTCTATTTATATTATCAGTGACTATGTTACATGCATTTATTTAGTCTGCGCATATGTTACATTGGAGAGTCATCCTAACCTCGAACCAAGCTGAAGTACGTTTAGATGTCTTCGGTGGTTCTCAATTCCATCTTATCAGTCCTTATTTCATTTTTTTTATAAATTATTGATTTCTTTCATAGTTTATATTTATCCATATTTTATTACAACTAATAGTTAATTATTTCAAATAAACAAAATTAAAGATAATTTAGAGGAAGAAATGTTGAAAAGCAGGTATTTAAGCCCTATCAGACTATTTCAATGAGCTTAATATCACATGCATGACATTGAAGATTATTTAATTTTACATAGATATAACAAGTTTAATCAAAATTGTAAAATCAATTATATAAAGTGCCACTTCTGGTAAGTGGATTGAGACAAAAAAGTTGCTGTAAGATCCCAGACACATACAAATATCAAATAAGCAATTTCAGATTCACACAGCTTTTCATTTTCAAACTAGGCTGTTCACTTGAACGTACACATAAAAGTACAGACCGTTTTGCAAAACTTGGATTCAAAATATTTCACAATCGTTTTACTTTCTCTTAATATAAGTAAGTGAACATAGAATAGTTAATAAAATATCAGTTACCCTTATCTGTAATGGAAGCCCAGTCTTATTTATAATCCAATAAGGAGCATGCAACATCACATCACAAGTCTCCCCTCTCTCGACTTTTAAACTGAGACCTAATTGTTTGTTACCTCCCTCAGTATCCTGTTCAGTTGTCATGGTTACTATCTTTTCCTCCACATCTGGACTTAGGCTGAATGTTCCTGTCCATAAAATTCCAAGATATGATGGGACCTGGAATGTAATCTCTTATGAACTAGACTAATAACTAGTAAAGTTTATAATCTCAATGAATGTACATAGTTTTTTGTTTTAATAAATAAAGCAACAAGTATTATTAAAACTTAGGAAGCCAATATATAAAAAAAAAATCTACACAATCTTTAGATAATATATAAATGTAAGATTGAAGAAATTTTTTTTTTTTTTTTTTTGTAGATAGAGAAATAACTTTATTCTGGAACAAAGCCTCTTAAGAATAACAAAATTTTACAGAACAAAAGAATATTTCCGGCCAGGAGAACTGTATTAAATAGATAAAATATGTAAACTAACAAAATATACAAAACAAACTGATGAAACTATATATAAAATGTTTAGAACTATATACAATACAAATGAACAATGAAACAAAATGAACATTGTTTACCTAAAAAAATAAAGAAAAAAATAATAAAAAGAAATAAAACAGATAGGGACAAAAGCAATAGATAAAAAATTAATTATTCTAGTAAATGAGCACCAAGTAAGAATAACTAATGTAAAGTAAAATATAAAGAAATAAAGATTTATGTATTCTATTTTGGTAAGAATTAAAACATATATTCTTGTATGCCCTCATAAATACTTATTTGGCAAGTATCATGATTAAACTAAAAATAAGTAAGCCATGTTTGGTTGTATCTATAGAACACAACCCTTCCCTCCTCCCTCATCTGTATGTCAGAAATGGCAAGGTAGGAGGTAATCGAAATGAAAAAAAAAAAAAAAAATGGACATTCATAATTTATTTATATATTGTTATAATTTTATTAATCTATGGTTTGAATTTGGATTTCCCATAAGTGGAGATGTGTTGAAGTGGAGGATTTGGTGGTGGGAGCGGTTCATGAGATATAGTCAATAGTTGCTTGGGCTCCGGCTGGTATAGTCAGACGATATTCGACCTTCGGCAGTGGTGCTTCAGCTGTTGCCAAGTTCAGATGGTGGTATGTCCTTTTTGAAGTTGTGGCATCCTTGTAATTTGGATTGACTATAACCCTTGTGTTATATGTTATATGTGTTATTGGCGCACAATGGACCCAAAGGGGTCGACGTGCTTAAAGCCAACATTAATAATAAAAAAAAAAAATAAAAATAACCCTTGTGTAGCTGCCGCTGTCTCCAGTTCCAGGAGCAGCTTAGCTTACTATTTATCTTATTCATTTTATTAAATTATAAATATTTTTTAACTTATTTATTTAATATCTATGTTTATTTAAATAATTTTCATAAAATTCATAATTTATTGGCTTTATTTTATTTTTTATTATATTTCATTTACTTTCTTTTATTTTCCTTACTATCATTTATCATAAATGTTTTACTTTATCTATTATATATCAATTTTTTCCTACAAAATTTGTATTGTAATATGGAGATGCATCCTGATCTTTCCGATTTATGTACTCTCCAAACCAAAAAAAGAAAATGGGCTAAAATTACCCTAAAATTAAATTCCTTCTGGGCAAAATCAAGCAAGCAAAAGCATAGATACAACTCCAACATATCTTGTTGCTAAAAGATCCAATCAAGAAGATTTTAAAAAAACCTCCCCATTTATTATCCAAAAGGTGATTGCACAGTTAGCAGGTGATGTTAAATCAGTAAAAAAATTAAGAGACAGCTGTTTATTGATAAAAACACTTAATGTACAACAATCGAAGAGACTTTTATCAGTTACAAACCTTGAAGGTCAAATGAAAGTTGAAATAACACCACATAACAGTTTAAATTATAGTAAGGGTGTTATGATTTCCAATACATGGATATACAGGAAATAAAGAATGAATGAACCCCGGTAATAAAAGTTATCATCAGGATAAAATCAAAACTGAACGGTAATAAAATACTAACACACAACTACATAGTTACCTTTCCAACTCATAAACTTCAAAGAATCATTACAAATTGGCTATGAAACAGTTAGAGTACAGCCATATGTACCAAATCCATTATGATGTTTAAACTGTTTAGGTTTTTCTCATCAGACATCACAATGTAAAAAAGTTTTAGTATGCATACAATGTGGTCAGGAAAGACATGGATTAAATATAAGATGTAATTTGCCAGCTAGATGCATAAATTGTAATGGCCTCCATAATGCTTTAGATCACTCCTGTACCGTGTTCATAATACAAAAAGAAATTAAAGCTATTCAAATCAATAATAAAATATCACTTTATGAAGCAAAATACATATATAGAGAAAAAATCTCACTCAGTTTAATAGAACATTTGCGGAAATAACCAGAAATCAATATAACACAAAAGAAAAAAAAGAAGTAACCATTCAGGCTAATATTTTATATATTTTCCAGAAACTTTAAAAAATTCACAAACAAATAAATCCAGCTCGGCTAAAGAGATATATAAAAAATTAAAAAGACTAAAGCTCATTTTAGAGAGGCCCAGGCCACACCAACCGTCTCTGATCAAGAGACTGCTCGATCACAGCAAAATGAAGTAGGTAGTCCCGCGCATCCTCAGTCTGCCTTCGTTCTGACCTCCTCTTTCACCCTCTCTGCCGCCAGCTCCTCCCTCTCTCCTAATCTTTCCACCACCTCTTCCTCCGCCAACTCTTCCACTCTTACCTCTACCCTTCCCCTCACCTCTTCCTCCCTCTCCTCTACCTCCCTTTCAATTCCACTATCCTCTACTTCTAATCCTGCTCCACCTACAGATGACCAATCTGTCAAAAATGGTACAGATGGTGAAGGCATAACTATAGCCGTAAAAGAGACAGTTTATATGCACCTGGTAAAAATAGATTCCTCACTTCAAGTTATAGCTGTTAGAGTTCATTTAAACATAACTTTTACTGTTTGAAACATCTATTTACCTCAAGACAATACCATAGGGGCAGAACACCTTATCCATATCCATAGATAGTTGATAAAGCCGATTTTGTTCACTAGAGATTTCAATGGCCATAATCCATTATGGGGCTCACAAGATACAAACTCCAGAAGTCGAATCATAAAATGTTTTTTAGATTCAACAAGTACTTTGTTACTGAATTCCAGCGAAGCAACATATCTAAGTTCAAGCTTTGGTATATTTTCATCCATAGATCTCTCTGTTTGCAGCAACTCACTGATAGATATTATAGGTTGGATAGTTCTACCAGAACGATATAGCAGTGATTATTTACCAGTCCGTCTTAAATTCAGAAGTACAAACTGCAATAACAACAGCGTTCCTCGCTGGATATTAGAAAAAGCAGATTGGTCTCTATTCACTTCTTTAGCTGACCCGCCTCAAAATCCCTCAAATAATGTGACCATAGATGATTGCTGTAAATCTATAACTGAATCTATACTAACAGCAGCAGAGGTATCAATTCATAAAACCAAGGGATATTTCAAAAGACTACCTGTTCCTTGGTTTAATAAGGATTGTAAAAATGCTATATGACTCCAAAGAAAGGCACTTACGAAATTTAAAAAGAATATGAATCTTGTGAACCACATAGAATATAACAAACAAAAGGCTATAGGTAGAAGAATAATAAATAATAGAAAAAAAGAATCCTGAATATCATTCATTGAGTCCATTAATTCTTCTACTCCTTGCAAGGTAGTTTGGGACAGAATCAAGAAAATAAGGGGAACAAGCTCTACTTGCAGATATACCCTGATCTCCGAAGGGAGATTGTGTGATAATCCAGATATAATAAGCAGAAAATTTGCCAAATATTACTCTCAAGTATTTACTGATGAAGGCTTTATACATACCACAGCTCAGCAATTGGGCTTCTCCAACACTCAGACATTTTAAGACTACAACACTCCATTTACCATTTGGGTACTAAAATCAATACTGAGGGATGTCAAAGGATCTTCACCTGGGCCAAACAACATACATTATACCATGTTGCAACACCTTCCAGAAACCACATTGAGCTGGCTATTGGGTTTTTACAACCATATCTGGATCAGCGGTAATTTCCCTACCAACTGGAATCAATCTATAGTGATACCGATTTTAAAATAAAATCAAGATAAACGCCATCCATCCAACTATCGACCAATTTTTCTGACCAGCTTCCTACGTAAAGTAATGGAGCGAATGGTGAATAAGAGGCTCACATGGATCCTAGAAAAATACTAGCTGATTCAAAACTTCCAATGTGGATTTCCCAAAGAGAGATCGACAATAGACCACCTAATCAAACTGAAGGCTGAATTACAGTATGCCTTTGTTCAAGAAGAGGAAGCAGTTGCCGTTTTCTTTGATATACACAAAGCCTTTGATAAAACTAATAAATATTTAATTCTAAGAAAGCTCCATTTACTAGGATTTAGAGGTGGTCTTCCCAAATTCATCCAAGAATTTCTTTCTTATTGCTCTTTTTGCGTCCAAATTGGAACATCGTTGTCCATAAAATATGAACAGATGAGTGGTGTGTCACAAAAATGTGTCCTAAGTACAACTCTATTCACCTTGGCCATCAGGGACCTTGGATTATATCTACCACGTGTAGTTAAAGTTATGCTATTTGTCAACAATTTTTCAATATTATGCAGAGGAAAATATATAGCCTCTATTCAAAAGAAACTCCAAGATGCACTATGTTGAATTGACAGTTGGTCAAAATCATCAGGATTGCAATTTTCCACCGACAAAACAAAATGTGTATACTTCAGTAGAAAATGAAAAACACTACAATCGCCAGACTTTTATCTAAGAGACGTTAAACTACCATACGCTGATAACTGTAGATTCTTGGGATTGTTGTTAGATAAGCGTCTGTTTTGGGATTAAGTCATTGAAAGAAAATTGTGCAAGAAAGTCTAAGATATTAACGGTACTAAGTCGAACAAAGTGGGGAGCGGACAGGAATGCAATGCTTAAAATATATCAAGCATTAATAAATAAGCACTTGTAAAAGTAGTCTTGCCAAGATTGACTCAGTGCACCACACAGGAATATGCCTTGTTACTAGAGCCTTTAGGACTTGTTCAACCCTTTGTCTCTGCGTCGATTCAGGCCTACCATCTCTCTTTTTCAGAAGACAAAAATTAGCAATAAATTACATAACAAAGTTGTACCCACAAACCACACACCCTGCCTACAAATACACTTTTGAATTTAAATTTTCTACAAAATTCCAACAAAAGAATAATGCAACACTGCCATTATCAAAAAGGATGTTTGCAATATTTAAGTTAAAACAGATCAACTTAAATATAATTCAAAATAACATACCCCCTTGGACTTTTTATACAGCCTAAATTAAATCTACTGCTCTCCAAAGTTAAATAAGAAAATTTGGAACCTGCAAAATATAAAGAACCATAAAACAATTACCTCTCTACTAGAAGACTTATTAATATTCACCAACGGTTCTAAATCGGACACATCAACAGCATCCAGCTTCGTCACACCTGATGCTATCTATAATGCAAAGAACATCCACTTTGTTCCATACATACCATTGAGATTAATGCTATCTCGATGGTTCTATGATATATGATAAATTCACCAGTTGTAAATGTGGTTGTGGTATCAGATTCATTGAGTGCCCTTAAAGCCATGAACAACATGTATCCAGACCACCTACGAATATATACTATTTTGGGGCTGACAGAGCAGCAAAAGCTCTTACCCCTCCAGAACTTGGTATAGCCTTCTTAACTGCGCCCGAACTGGCACGACCCCTGAAAGAGGCCATACATCAAGATTGGCAGACACTATGGGGCAATATCCCTCAAAAAAAATTAAAGGTGATAAAAAAAGAAGCGAAACCATGGAGCAGTTTCAGTCGCAGTAAACGCAGAGAGGAAGTTGTCCTTACGCAACTAAGAATAGGTCATACCAAGCTTAAGAACATTCACTTAATTACGAAAGAAAACCCGCCCATTTGTCAGAAGTGTGGAGAGAGAATGACAGTGGTCCATATCTTCTAGAGTTGTGCCTTTTACAACAGAGAATTAAACATAAGAGGAATACCAGCAAACACACCGGCTGCTTTGGGAAATGATGAAAAAATCTTAGGCAAACTCATAGCGGGAGGGGATGGTTCTGCTTGTGGTATTGATAAACATCACTAGACCAGGGAAGATGATATCATTTTTTTTTTAAAACTATTTTGATCAAGATTTAGGGTACATGGTCAATAAAAGTAAAAATAATTCACTTACATGGATGCTAATTTTGTGAGTTCGAAGTAAATTCAGGAAATAAATGCTAGCCTTTTCACCTGCTTCAATTCTAACTTCATACTTGATGGAAGGCACTTTGACTTCAATTGCATATGGCAATCTGTTATGAAAGGCTAATGGTGGCAATAATCTAATTAAATATTTTGGAATCAAACGAGATGGTCTCCATATTGGAGATCCTTCCTCACAGAAAGCCTGAAAAGAAGAATAAATTAGTTACTATTTAAAATAGCATAATGTTGAAGGTATTCTTATCCATATAAAAAACAGTAGGAGTATTTGGTTGGAGAATGTAGTCTATCAAAAATATCTTTGAATGATTTCAGAATACAAAATAAAATTCATACCCTAACTGAAAATACTGTTGGTTCACTTTCTTCCTTTGCAGAGCATACAATGTCTTTAGGGGTATTCAAATCAGAAGCTAAGTCCTGCCACCAAAGTCCAGTGTCGCAAATACTATAATTGCTATAAATAGTATATTTCAAATTAATTCTAAGTAAAAAAGTGAAAAATCACTATTTAATATTCATTGAATGAGTAAGATTATTCATATAATGGTTGTAAAAAAAAAGAACTTAGTTGAAACAAACAGCTAAAATGACAATCAAAACATATTTATAGAAGAAAAATATTGAGAAAATTTCTTATTCATTATGCTTATGTTAGTCTATTGCAACTTTCATAAATTACTTAAATTGAAACATTTGTTTATTAAAATGAAAATAATAAAGCAAATCATGTTGGCTGAACTTACTCAACATATGCAGGCTGAACATATAATTTACAATGATGTGCCACAGTTAGGGGCACATTAAACACTTCATCTGGTTCTATCACAGCAATTCTGAACATATCTTCAAACGGATTGGTCGATTCTCCAATAACTGTATATCCTAAAGTCTCAAGGACAGCTTTTTTGTAATAAATAGCTATTGCATAAGAAGTCTCATTTTTTACCTGCAAATTTTTCATAAAAATTCATTAGCTTGCTTGAGAAACCTAAGGCTAGTGTCAAATGATCAGCACATACCTGTAAAGGAGATCTAACAGTTATTTTTTGTCCCCAGTCATGGCATTCAACATTAAGAACAATATAATACCTAGTATTGTTTTTTATTGGTTGCAGAAAGTGGAGTTTGTTACAAGTCCTTTGAGGACACAAGACTTCCATTTCTTCAAAACCTAAAAAAAAAAAATATATAATGCAATTAATTCAAAATTCTTTAACTTAAAAATATTTAAGTTCGTTGAAACTTTGGTAAAAATAAGCATTTATATTTCTTTTATTATCTTCCTTAAAAAGTTAATAGATTACCTGGAATATGAATCCTAACTCTCTGATCAGTAATTTTCTTATACAAACAAGACACTGGTTCAACAGGAAACTTCATGTATGGAGAATATAACTCTGAAGACACCTCTGGATCTGTTTTTCTTGAATAAAACCCATCTTCTAAACTTTGAACAATAAAAGGACTTATAAAAATATAAAAAAGTAGTTTTCCTTAATGAAATAGCTACTAATTTATCAATTAATAATACATTCTTTACTTATTATATACTTACTAATCAGGATCTCCTTCTGAGCCTAAAGGACTGAAAAAATCTGTTGGTGGGGTAGACGCAGGACTGCTAGGCATAGAATCAGATCTTTCATAGGTAGATGTCATTAAAACTTTAGGAGGGCCAACCTGAAATAGATTTCAATAAGAACAACAATAAGCGTTCTTTCGATAAGTAAAAACTTTTCATCCTATCATTGTGTATATTAGACAATAAAATAGAATAAAAAAATATGTTTTCTTATGTTACATAAAAGATTCCTCAATCATTTGTTACCACCAATAATCATTCATTTTAGAATACACATTACGAGAACAAAAACTCAAAAAGAGACAAACTTTAAATTATGTTATTATTAGAAGATTTTTTACAAAGCTTTTAGTATCTCAAATAGTAATCTAAATCCAATTGGCAAATGTTTCACCCATAGAGGTCACGTCAAGACAACAAAAAAAATACTACAAAGCAGACTATCCAAATACAGTATATCATGAAGAGTTAAATACAACCGAAAAGAAAAGAGTTTAGGGTCAATCCATTTAAAATCACAGAATTTGAATTAATATTTTTGCTCGACATTTTTGATTTTTATAATTGTTTTACCAGTTATTCCATATTTATTTGAGAGTTCAAAGCCACTGTTAAAAAAAGTACATTTTAATAAAAACCTATTTACTGCATTACTTTTTCAGAGTGAATAGGTCAAATCCATAAAATGATTTGTTTCTTAAAATTTAAAAATTATTGTTAAATATACACATGCAACTTTTGTGAATTAAAAAAAGTGAAAAACTGTATAAGTATGGTATACCATACCTAAATGACACTATTCTATATATAAATCGATTCAACACTTTTTATTATGAGATGACTCTAATTAGGAGATGGCAAGCTTTCATGGAGCTCCCACAGTTATGATTCAGGAAGGGATACATAAAGTAAATTCAAGACTTACCTCTGCTTTAGACAGCAATGTGATAGTTGAGCTAGGAGCTATATCGTTTATCAAAGACAGCTCATTTTCCATAGGAATTGGGGCAGACAGTGTAAATGCCTGATGGAGAGATGTAAGAACAGCAATGGACTGTGGTGTGACAGACAACTCTAGCCTGTCTCTGGATTCAATCATCACATAGGTTGCTACTTTATCTACACCCTCTGTTTCTAATCCTGAATCCACAGAGTCACCTGCAATACATTTCGTTCCTATTACATAATTTCATTTTAAATAGATCTCATTAAAACTAAAAATATTTTAAATTCTGTCGTACTGAGGACAAAATAGTCTATCACATCATCTGCTAGTTTATGAGGCTGAGCTTTGCGTTGTTTAGAGTGAATACTGAAGCAAACCCTAAGATACATGAGAATATCAATCCAACAAAGTTTTTAGATTCACTGAATCCACTAAGCTTAAGTTTGAAGCTTGATATGGCATTCATTATAGGCTATAATGCATAATGCCATTACAAAAAATAAAAGGAAAGAAGATAGCCATTCTTACAGTTATGTGTTGAACATATAAATAATTAAATAAAAACCTATAAAATAAATAAATAACATTTATGACACATTGAACTTAAATGGATAGTACTAAAGCTAACTATAAAATAAAGAGAGGAAATTTACTTTGTTTTTTCAAAAATATTGCTCTAGATTCCTTCCCAGAAGGTGGGTGGTGAGCACTTGTCAGAGATTCAACATCAGTATTATCATCTGTATCTGCAGAGGGCTCTGCTCCACTGGAATCATTACTGTCACTTGCTTCTCCATCACTGCTATCCCTAGAAATAAGAAACAAATTTACAACATTGCTTATTTTCTAATTTATGCTGATATCTGGATGAACTGTTTTATCAAGAAAAAAAGTATTTTAAAATAAAAGTTCCATACCATCACACAAATGCAAAATAGGTATATCTGAAAATTTTGGGTTTGTTATTTTTATCAGACATTTTTTTATAACAGTGAATAATAATAACTGTCGGAGGATAAGAGACAGACGGGCTTCTCTATTTTAATAAGAACTTACATCTGCAATCATAATTTCACACTCAATTTTCACAGTTCAACACATTTTCAGACAGCCAATTTGGCATTGCACCAATGATATAATTTGAAATTATGAAATAAATAAAACATTTTAGTGAGTTTTAAAACTACAAAAATTATTAATTTACCAGTAGGCTGTATTTAAATAAAAAAACTAATAATAATAACAATTATTCATCTAAATATATATTAGAAGGCAATCCATGATCCATGAATCCACAAGTGTCCCCGCAGAGGGTCATTTCCCTTCATCAAATAGCCTATAAATAAATTAATTTAAGGTGATGTTGATCAAAATGTAAGATTGCTGTTGTTAATAGCAAATTTTCACCATATTTATGTCTCAGCATTAGACAGCAAGTGCAATAAACAGTAATGCTGCTTCTGAGACGTAATTATAAGATGTAATTATATAAATATATTGATTATGCATGAAATCAACTCTTTCTATATGAGGAATTTCTTTAAATGAAAATAAGTACATACTGATTTTGTTTTGCATTTATGAAATTAACAAAATACATAATACTTCCTAAAAAGAGACAAAAGAAAAGAGACTGGGGCTTTTAGTTTACCCAGTAAAAAGATGACTTATGGCACTTGCAAGTTTTTCCATAACACCTTCTTCATTATCAGAATCAGAGTCTTCAGGATAACTGATTAAGCTTATACTTTCTGTAAAGGAAAATATAACATTAATAAATTTTAATAAGATTTATAGTAGCTCCTTCAATTCCAATATAAGAGCACAACATAAAATGCTTAATATATGAAGACAAATTAAAACCAAGAAAAGTTTTTTTTGTTACAGAATATCTATGGAATATCACATTTAGTCCAGTCAATAATGGAGGTATATAGTGCGTGAGCAGGGTCCTAAGCGATTCCTTCAGAAACTTGTTCAGGGTGCTTAGGGTATGACACATCAAAAGTCCTTACATCTAAGCGGTGAGCTAAGGGAGAAGGGATGAAGAAAGAACACAATTTTTGGATTTTTGCTTATGTCTCAAGAACGGAGCATTGCAGCAGAAATTTTTTGTATAATAAATTAAAGTTCATAAAATTATATAAAACTTTTATTATATAAGATTTTATCCAAATTTTAAACCATTTTCGAGTTAAATGCTCAAAAAAAGTTGACATTTCCGAAAAAAATCATTTTGCCTCACATTTTACATCAAACATTCCTTCATATCATCTAAGCTATTCACTAAAGAAAGAAATTCATTTAAAAGAAATTGTAGATATTTAAATTCTCTATTAGAATATATATATATATATATATATATATATATATATATATATATATATATATATATATATATATATATATATATACATATTTAAATTAATCTCCAACCAGTCCACAGTTACAACTATTTAAATTTTTTCATAAAATGTCATATTCAGAAAAAGTTATTTTTATCATATTCCTGACCAAAATTTTTGTTCATTTGTTTAATAATATGTTTTGCCAAACTTTAAATTCAATTATTAAATAAAGTAGAAAAAATCATGTAATTTCAAAAATTTAATATTGTATTTTATAGATAATAAAAGTCTCATGATAATTCTATTCAATATTTTTACATTAAATACATACAAGCATAAACCTCATCGTTATCACTGTTCTCAATATTACACTCACAAATTTATACGGATTCACGTTTTCATCCACTTTGGACATGCTAGTCTTGGCAAGGCATGTTAGTCCATGGCATCTCCACCCTCAATAGTGGTATACGGTGGACCAAACCTCCTTACAGTGCATTCCCACCACATACCTATAAATTGCATATCGTTGGGTTCTTGCAACAATTTACTGAACGCACTGTCCCAAAATGGCATCCAGCATGGCAGATTGACGACATTGACTTGAGTTAGTTTTATGGTCACTGAGATTCAGAATTTGGTTTAATTTCATCATAATTGGCATTTTACTAAAGCTGAACAGTCAGAGAATAATAAAACATAAAAAAAAAATAAATCTGCTTTATTTAATAACTGTATTTAATGTGTGACTACACATATTTTACAAACAAACAAAAGTGTGGCACAAAAGTTATTATAGCCCTATAACTATGCCATTTATGAGAATTGAATGATGTGGTTAAAGACAGTAGGTGCTAACAAAAGAACCGCAATTAAGTACATTTTCTAAGGAACTGTTTCAAATATTTTAAAAATTAATCACTCAATTAGAAAGAGAAATGTAATGTCCAGATGATTTATTTTGAAGCATTTTTCATAATTGTTGGCAGTTTATTTACAAACAATGCTTGATTTTCAACATTAGTTTGAATAAATTGGCTTTACCAGTGTTTTTATTGTCTAAACCAATTATTTTTTAATATTTTTTCATGTTTTATTATTCTGTGACTATTCATCTTTGATAAAATGCCAATTATGACAAAATTAAATCAAATACTGAATCTCAGTGACCGAAAAACTAACTCAAGTCAAAGTCGTTAATCTGCCATGTTGGACGCCATTTTGGAACAGTGATTTGACTTTTTTTGTGGGACCATTAACTTTATTTTTTTTTAAATAAATAGTTGCAAGAAATTCAACGACATGCTATTTATAGGGACATGGGGAGACTGCACATTAGGGTGGTCCTTTCTGGCCCACAGTGTACTACAACTGAGGGTGAAAAAGTCATGGACGAACAACCCTTGCCAAGAACAGCACTTCCAATGTGTTAGAAAACATGAATCCATATAAAGTTGTGAGTGTAATATTCAGATATTATTGAGAACAGTGATAACAATGTGGTTTAAAACTGTATGTATTTAATGTAACAAAATAGAATCAAATTATCTTAAGAATTTATTATGTGTAAAATACAATATTAAATTTTTGAAATAACATCATTTTTCTCTACATTATTTAATTATTGCATTTTTTTTTCAACAAATACAATATAAGTAAATGTAATATATGCATATATATCTTTCAATAATTGGATTTAAAGTGTGGTCACACATATTATTAGACATATGAACAAAAGTTGTGGGTAAGGAATAAGATAAAAACAACTTTTTCTGAAAATGACATTTTATGAAAATTTTTAAAATAGCCGTAACTGTAGACTGGTGGAAGATTAATTTGTATATGTATATACATTCTAATAGGGAATTTAAGTCTCTACAATGTCTTACAATTGAATTTATTTTTCTGATGAATAGCTTAGACGATATGAAGGGATGTTAGATGAAAAATGTGAGGCAAAATGATTTTTTTCGAAAATGTCAACTTTTTCAGAGCATGTAACTCGAAAATAGTTTAAAATTAGGATAAAACCTATAGAATAAAAGTTTTAAATAATTTTATATAATTTAATTTATTATAAAAAAAATTTCCCCTGCGACACCGTTTTCAAAATATAAGCAAAAATCCAAAAATCGTGACCTTTTCTTCTTCTCTCCCCAATCAGCTCACCACTTATACATCAGGCCTTTGGTACGTTCACACCCTAATGACCCTGAGCAAGTTTCTGAAGACATCGTCTAGCTCCCTGCTCATGCATTCTACACCCCCTTTTGGGCCATTCATTGACTGAACTAACTAACTGAACTAATAGTAGGGTACAATGAGCTAGGAAACAGTATCCAAATTACAGATTACTAAAGAAGTTCAATTTCCTTAGGCTACAAGGATTACTAAAAAAGTTTTAACTTTAATAATCAGCTAGGATTGTTGATGAAGTTCAACTTTTATAATCTGCAAGAATTACTAAAGACTTAAGATGGTCTCTTCTGGTTGGAATGATTTGAGAAACCAATTCTACCCTTGAAATCAAATAAGACAGAAGATTGTTTCATTCTGATAGAATGTAATCTAAGAATATGGCCAATTTTGCCTTTCATTTCATTCCATGCCATTTTCATTCCGCACAGATTTTATTTGAGCATATCTCTGCTATATTCATGATACTTTTCATATTTTAAAGTGTCTTCTTGGAATGTTATTTTCAGTTTGAACAGTATGTTTAAAATTAAATTAATAAGAAAAGAGAAATTAATTTCATTTTTTAATATTTTTCTCATAACTGTGGGAAATATACTTTAATAATAAGAACATATTTTAGGAAAATTAATATATTCATGTATTTGTGTATGAGAAAATCAAAACAAATAGATGAGTTTTACTAATTAAAAATTAGTTTAAACCAGATATTCAAAACTTATGATACTTTAAGAAAAGTACACTTGGAAAAAAATTGTTAAAAATGAGCCCAAACTGGGTTTTTCCTTAAGACTTTTTGACGTTCCAAAGTTAGCTGTTAGCTGCAACTTTGTTGATGAATAAATGTCCTGATGAAAACTGAATTCTTGTTTGTTTGTATCAAAACAACTATTGGCAAACTATTACGAATTAGAAATTATTGGAGATTCCAGGTTTTATTTGAATGCTTTTATCCACCTAATACCATAAGATATATTAATATTATTCAAAATTCTTTTTAATGATGAAACAAATTTATTGTTTATTAATTTTTTGAAGTTTATAAGATGGGAGTATTGTTGTAAATTTTCATCACATTTTAAGGTTGGAATGAAAATGAAACAGAACAAGCTGTCGTCTTCCAAATGTTAGTCAGAAAGAGTCATTTCCTTTAAGTGTTGATCTAAATAAAGATGGAACAGACTGAAAAATGGTACCGATTCCAGAGGATTGTTAATCTCTATTAAAGAACCACATTTGAAACCAAATAATATAAAAGTAAATCAAAATTACAAATCTTTTACCATGTTTAGATTTTTTGTGATCATTCCTAAGTTGCTTTTTCCTTATAAACATCATCGATCCAGTTTCAACATCCTGCTCATCAGCTGAAGTTTCTGATTCTTCAGAGTTTGCTACTCGACTCAGACTTTTACTCTGAGAAAGTTTGGAAAGGGATGAACTCATTTCTCTTTCATTGCTTTCATCACAGCTCATGCAAGGCTGAATGGGATAAGCTTTTGCTCTAAATACCTGAAAATATTAATAAAAACAATTTTTTTCAGAATAGTTGTTTCATTTTTAATATTCAAATAGTAACATTATTTATATGGTTGTCAGCATCTATGCCCTCACAGAACATTATGCTCCCCTTAACAGAGATGGTTGTTGAGTCACATAACAGCTTTGGTACATGCTCTCTTAAAGTTTCAATATTTTTATGTGGTAAAATGTATTTTTTATAAGTGAAAATTGGCATATATATTTTCAAGAAATCTGTAGAGCCAATACTTCATAATTAATGTGATAAGAAAACCAAGTATTTGAGTGTAGTGGAGTTCAGAATGGTTGAGTGAGTGAGTTCAGATAGGTGATTTAAAATACCAGAGTATATACATTAAACTAGCTAACAAATTTATTACTATTAATATATACTATCAGGGGCTCTGTCAGGTATTTCTATCAACTTGAATAAAGTGAACACTGAAAACTACACAAATAAACTGTACAATTTTTCATTTTTTGTTTTCTTCTGAAGCCCAGAATTTTTTTTTAAATTTTCATCTCCTCAGTATTCCATCCATTCTATTATTCATCTATTAATTATCTGTCTTCATTTTTTATTTATGGCAACATACGAGTCATATAACTTTGATTACTGCATGCCGCCATAATTAGAGTAGTCTCCTGGTAAAGCATTGAGTTTATTCCTTCTTAAAAGAATTAGAGGTTCTCGTGAGTCTTGTACGAATCCTAATAATACAAAAAACCTTCGGTAGAATCTAAAAATAAGGCTAATTGATGCTCAAAGCAGTTAAATCCTGATGATTTAGATAACAAAAACTGCAGAAACAACTCAATTTTTTAAGGTTTTGTGGCCAGGGTTGCAGAACGGGCTAACGCGTGTGGACAGCACCGCCGTTGCCCGGCAACCTGATATATGAGACTAACTGATAAAAAATAGTCATGAGTTCGCGTCCCAGTGCCAGAAGAGTCTTTTAAATCCCCACCCACACTCTCTGGCAAACCCCAGATATCCTTAAAGGTGAGAAAGAGGAGGACCCCCCCTCCAAAAAAGGTTAGAATTATAATATTCAAAATAATGATTTTTGTAAAATTATCACTGATTTTCGTAACAAAGTTTTACAAGTTTAATTACTAACAGTTTTTTTTATATACTATTCCTTTAGGACATACAACAGTTCTCAATAGACCTATTCTGGTTTCATTTATGAGGTATACAGAAAAGTTATCAGTAATGAATTCGCTAAAGCGCCTGAAAGATACAGGATTTTTTTCCGAAAGAACTAGAATAAGGAGAAGTAAGCTCTTCTTAATTAGAAAATATATTACGGGTTTAAATAATAGCATTAACATTAATATAGCATCGTCTCAATGTTTTGAATAAAAAATTTACTTGGTCTGAAGATGTAGGTTAAATGCTTCATAATGAGGATGGATTGAAAGATCTATTCGGCTTTGATATGTCTAATTTTATTTCTGCGGTTCGAACTGATTCTCTACCAAAAGATTATTTTTCATTGAACGCAGGACGTTCTAAAATGACCACTACCAAATTATCTTCAACACATAAAATTAAGAAATGAGATACAAGAGCCAGCAGTTAACCAAAACTTTTCTATTAAAACAGTTTATTTTATTGTTTATAACGTAGCTGGTTTAGAGTCTAATTGAAATGTCTTTACTTTTCCTTTTTTATAGTTTCCTAAGAAATATGATATTTTTATTGGAATATTTTATACATAATAAATTCAGTTACTACAGTAAATTTGTCTATGGATATTAAAGAAATTTATCACTATCCTTTATTTTTATTATTAATTATTTATATTTCTTATTACAATTGTATTTTTTTATTCATTTTTTATTTATTTATATATTTATTTCAGGCAAAATAATTAATATATCAGAAAATTATTAATATATCTTTATATACAATCTTTTTAATATACTACAGTGAAATGATAACAATTATTATTAATTATCATTTGTACTTGTAACATAATGTACAAAATTTTTGGCAGACGGATTTCCCATGCTGTCAAAATGTTTTTTTTTTCATTGTCAAATTTTGTATTACAATTCAATATAGCATTATTAATATACAGTAACATTATATTATTATATACATTATATAGTAAGATTCTACCTTAAATAGTATTTCATAAGGTCTGTAAACTCCTTCTTCCTCAACACAAGGTTCTAAAAGTGGTTCCCATGCACCTACTTTAGAGTTGTAATAAGAAATTTGAACTTGTAGTTCACCTAAAAGAACATGAGTAATATAAGTTATTATAAATACTATATTAGTAAGAAATATTTTTCCTTATTTCCATTTCTACAAAATATATGTTATTAATCAGAAATTACCTTTCATTTGCAAATATTTAGACCAATTATGAACTGAAGCTTCTGTAGCTGCTTTAAGAAGAACCATTGGTACTCTTTTGTTTGAATCCTCTAATTCAAAAATGATTCTTAGTTTCGGGATAGCTGCTGTAAAAATTTCATTCATCCTACCTATTGTTCCACAACAATAACCTAAACAAAAATAAATAAACTAATAGAATGTTAAATAATATTTGGAAAAAGTGGGGAATATGTAAACTTACTTGACTGATGAGGGAATGTATAAGGAGATATTTTTTTAGGAGACCAGAGATCATCAGTTTCTATACTTCCATAGAGAACATTTGAGCCATCTGGTTCTTCTGGCATCAAATTGGTGTTTACCTCTTCGAGAAGCTTTGTTTAAATTATAATAAACCATTTGTTACAAATCAGTTTTTTATAATAAAAAAATTATTATTAAGATTATACTCACAGCAGTTATTGCGTGGACTGTATTAGGAGTAATATGGATGTCAATTAGACCTACCCCTAAAGTCATTTTTAATCCATCATCATTCATTTTTTGACTTTTTGCAAATTCAATATCACAAGGATGAAGGACCTACACGAATAAAAATATAAATGTAACTAACCAAATTCACTGGAATCATTGTAATTATATTATAATAATGGCCCTGCTAATTCTTACAATGTAAGGATGTTGGTCCTTATGGGGGACCTGATGTTTGCATAAAAGTCTTAGCCCAGATAATGAAAACACAAATGATTCTCTTCCTGGATGTCTACTATAGTCTGCAAGTACTTCAGTTCTGAGTAATAATGCATGTCCACTACTTGAATATAGCATTATTTCAGGTCGTCTAATTTGAACTGAAATAGATATGCCTAAAAAAAAAAATTATAAATAATACTAGAAATAATAAATACTTTTTTTATTAATAAAAAAAAATTTAAGTAAGATTGACATCTATGAATAATTAAAGTTGGTGTAACAGTTGGGTGCCCTCTAACGCACAACAAAATTCATGACGCTTTCTGATATTATGTTTACTTGGAACTGTAATGTTTAGTGAAAAACAGCCGATAATTACACCAAGTTTAAATATACATATACATCGATTTTACTAACAGTATACTCATGTGTTTAGGTAGATATGCTGTCATATAAATTCTTAGATTGGATAAGATTATTTCTCAAGTCAAATTTCTTTTTTTAATTAACATTTATAGTTTTAACATTTTGCTTTAACATTTATAGTTTTTTATCATTTTTTTAATTAAAAAAAAATTACCAGTTTGTTCATCCATACAAGATGCCTTCAAAGAAAAATACCCACTGGTACTGTCAGCTGAACTTGGAGGCCTAACTGTATCTATTGATGGTTTCATCTGAAATTATACAAAACAAGGGAAATAGTTAAATGTAGTATGATTGGTATAATCTGTTCCAGCAATTTAGAGCAAACAAATATGCATACACTTTCTAAATCTAATTTGAATTTGACAAAGTATATATTGTGAGGTAGTTTTCATTGCATAGTAATTCAAATGATTGTTTTTCTTCTTAAGGAGGAGGGTTATATATAGGAATGTATTACGTTATTTATATTTAACTGATGGTGTATGATACAAGTTTTTTCTTTTCATTGTAAATTTATTCAAATTATAAATCTATGTAAAATACTGTCCTATTCCTTGTATGAATAAGTGTATTATGGTTTTCTTCTCAGGATTGTTATAGATTTACTGTTATTCTAACAAAATAAAAATAATTTATATATAAAAACTCCATTTGTACAACTCAAATACTTAAGAAATTTAAATCAGCATGGTAGCACTGTTGGAAATAATTTTGCCATATGAAACCTAAAGATAACAAAGTTAATTAACATAAAGAAAGAATATCAAAGAAAACTTACAGGTATATTACTATCACCCACATAACCATGATTTACAAGTCCTCCTTCATATATTCTGTCTGGAGGTAGTGAATCAAGTATGAAGCGAGACAGGTCAAGAACAAAAGATATTGATAAACTTAATCGTAATGCTTCAACCAACACATCAACACATTTATCGCCTGTCTGAGTCTGACGAAATGTTACATCAATTATTGGTGGTGTAGATACTGATATATTGCTGTCTTCAACTTGTGTTGAACCAGTATGAGATTGTAGTATCCTGTAACATATAAACAAATAATGAAAAATTAATGCGATTACAGATTAGAAAAACATAGTTTATTTAAAAAACATAATCCTTAAAATATATATATTTTTAAAAATATTACATTATATTATTACAATAAAGACTAATTAAACAAATAGATGTAATAATAAAAGTATCAGTTACCTCCTAACTTTAATCAATTAAGAAAAAATATGAAAGACAAGTTAAATAAATAAAACAAACTAATAATTTCTAAACATATTTATAGCAACATCTACTTACAATTTTATAGGGACTGAATGGATAGGACGTGATTGAATATGCGGGATTTAAAGGTGTAGAGAGTATTTGAGTGGTTCCAATGGATGTTGTAAATAACCTAATAAAAGTTAAATGTAAATATTCCTTTTTGACGGGAATAGTGAATATTCTTTCCGTTTTATTGGGAGACTAGGTTATTTACACTCGTGATTTAATTTTCTTAAAACAAAACCTCGGCTCTGGATATAGACTTATTGAGGCTGTTTAACTGTCATTGGGAATTCGGGAACCTAATACTTTTATGACACTGAGTGACAAGAAACAATAAGAATATATATATCTGATATGTGGGACTTAGTAAACACACTTTGAATGAATTGACTCACCTGGTTTGTTATTCTTCAATTGTGAGGCATATAGGACAACTAAATAAATAAATGACTTTTCACGCCTGTGTAGTAAAATAATTTATTTCTACAACTGTAATAAATTGACTCTATTAAAGTGTTATAAATATCGGCTTGATTTCAGTGTAGTATATTTCTCTTCTCAGGTATCCTCCTTCCTTCGTGTCCCAGTCTCAAGTGAGTTCTCTTCTCTTCTCCAGCGTCCTTCAAGTGTTGCTACCTGCTCAGTCCTTTTCTTTCTTCCTTTTTCGTCGATTGTTTATCGATATGAGACTTTTCAATGAATAATTTGTCCACTGCATAATTGAGTACAATTCATCATGCAATCTTACATTCCTATATATTCCTTCTCATTCCCTCACACAGTGTCACATAAAGGAGTAAATACTGGGGGCTATCTACTACAATCTAAGAGGGAATAAAATTCCATAGGGGTGAGGATCAGATAATGAAAGATTTGTCGATAGCAGCAATTCAGTAGAATCTCATTTTAAATCTAAAGACTGGGGAGCGTATTTACAAATCCTATAGGGATTCGGACACCCTGTCTGAACTCATTTAGTCTTAAGCCAATTCCGGCACTTCAGCTCTGCCTGTCCACTGTGAAAGTTTAGTCTTAGTTTAATTAAATTGTAACTATAAAGAACACTATAGTTTAAGTAAATTAAACTTTAAAGAACTTTATTCAATTATTATCAATCAATATCTACACTATTATAATAAAAAGTCTTTATTATTATTTTCTTATTTATTTTTACAATTTATCTTTTATTTTATTATAATCTTAGTTCTTATTATTTTTTATTATTGTTATTGATTTTTAATTTTTATAAAAAGAACATTATTTAATTAGTGTCAATCAATATCTACATTATTTTAATAAAATATCCTTATTATCATTTTCTTATTTATTTCTACAATTTATTATGATCTTAGTCCATATTATTTTATTATAATTTTTAAGAATTATTTATATTTAGCGCTTATTCCTCTTGCCTTTTGCCAGTAAAAAAATATTTAAAACAAAATTAATATATAAGTGATCGGAAACAGGTTTTTAACAAACACAGGATTTGAATTAAAGGAGGTCAGAGATGTATAACAGATGACAGGATTGGGTGACTTGGAAAAGGAGAATGCTAGAGAATATTTATGCCATTAGGAAGGATAACGCTTCTTCAACTCTTCATAAAAACAGGGGACAGAGGCATCCCTTGGGATCTCGAATATGATTAATACAAAGCAATTAATCAAATGTTTTAGTTTTGTGTTAAGAACTCCAGAGATGCATCCATATACCGCAAAGAAATAGTCAAAGAAGTGTCCAAGAACAAACGAGTTGCAAATGGAAATAGGTGGCAGAGGTAATTTACATGTTTCAACGTAGAAAAGGCACAGTGGGAGATATTGGATTCATGTTTTTTCAGAAAAGGGTTTGCTCAAAGGTTATTCCAAGCTTTTTATTGGTGGAATTACATTTGATGGGGGTTATAGGTTAGAAGGCAGGAAGGATAGGTATATTTGGAAATCACCTGCATAGATATGGCATTGGGAGTGATGAATCAGGAGGGGAAGGTCATTAATGTAAATAGCAAACATAGAAGGAAATAGGGAGGAATCCTGAGAGACACCAGAGGAGAGGAGAAATGGGTTGACCTGGGACGAATACATACTGGGAATGATCTGAGAGGAAGGATTTGTTGGTTCAAATCCTTCCTCTCAAATCCTCCAACCAACACAAGACACTGATAGATAGAGGAATATTTTGTAGTTTAGAAGGGTGCTATGGTCAACTGTGTCTAACACAGAAAAATCTAGAAAGACAAGGATAGTGAGTTTTTGATGTTTAATGGAGTTTTGGAGGTAATGGTTGATTTTTAGGAAGGCAGATTGTGTTGAATAGTTAGGTCAAAAGACTGAGTGGAGATGGTAGATTAAGGAATGTTCCTCTAGGAAGAGGGAAATTTGATTTTGGATAAGGTGTTCTAGAGGTTTTGAAAGATTGGAAAGGAGAAAAATAGGATGGAAGTCATGTAGTGAGGAAGAGTTTGAAGTTTTATTCAAACGTCAGACTAGGGTAGTTTTCCAAGAAGATGGAGTATGGAATTTTACAATGAAAATTTTTAGATATGTTAAAGTACAGGGATAAGGAAGGGAAGGCTAGATTTTATTAGTTTTACTGGAATATTATAAGGACTATAATCATTGGTGTGGGATTTTAAGATAGTGGAAAGTAATTAGTTAATTGTGACATAATTACTCATTTAGGAATTTAAAATTTTGAGTTATTGTTTTAGAGTTCACTTATAAACTGAAATTTGACAAAACACAGATTTGAAAATTTTCATAATCACAATAGTTTGTCTTACTATATATTATGTATATAGGTAAATGGAAGTAAAAACCCTACTTCTTATTAGAAGGATCAGTCTCTTTTCTAATATCTTCAACCAGACATGTTTGCAAAGCCATTTTTAACTCCAAACTTTTATCAGAGAGTACATCTAAAGTCATGGTTGCTTCACCAGTTTCTAGTTTGCATAATCCTTGATTCATATCTCTAACAGGAGAACTTAAAATCTGTGAAAATAGAAAATTTTATGAAAAGTAAAATTTCTTGAACAATGTAAAAAAAACAAAAACAAATTTAGCCACTGAACTCTCACCTCATCACAATCACTGAACAAATACACCTGCATACTGTCTAAAGTAAACCTGACAGAGCCCTCTCGCCGCACCGGTTCATTTTGGAAGAAGAAAGCCTGCAGCTTCTTGACAGCCTGGTCTTCAGCAGGAGGAACTGGAGTGTGAGCTTCTATAGGAGATGAGGGAGTAGTCCAATTATTTGTTACTTCACCTGAATTATTTTAATATTTCATATTTTTAATAGAAACGCTTTACAACTACTTGCTTTACTTACAGTCAATTAGCTTGATATTTAATAGTAAAAGCGTTAGTAAACTCCAGATAATTCCAACTTATAGGACAAGTGCAAACATTAATTTTTAATGCCATGAAATTTATCCTTTCCACAAAATCTTATTTAATAGCATAATAAGTAGTTTTTTTTATACTTAGCTGACTCTCTTTCAATAAAACAAATTTTTCTTAATTCCTCAAGGAAAACTTTTTTTAGTAGAAAAAACAAGAATAAGATTATACAAAATTAATTTTGTAAAAAATATTACTTGTTTTGGTCAAAGGGACACCCCCCTCCCCTCAAAAATTCAATGTGAGCCCAAATATTTCTTATTATCAAGTATTTTAACCCAGCATTGAGTACACCTTCTTTAGTCCCACAACATGGCAATGTTATTTTATATGGCAAGATTATTTTTAATAGCACAGCTAATTTTCAAAAGTGAATTACAAGGAGTCTACTGTATGAAATTATTTATAGTTACCTATAAATATCCCTTGATTGAAGTTATCTACCCAAACATTCAGTATTGTAGATAGATCTCTTTGACCAAGATTAATCCTGATATTATCAATGTTGCCAATAATCTGATAAAGAAGCAACTGGGATGTTGGCTGAACATAAATTCCAGTTAAAGCTCTCACAGTAGAATGGTAATCAACTGCTCGCTTTACATCAAATTTAACACTGAGAGGATCAACAATGGGTTCCTACAACAGATGAATAAGTAAAAATTAAACTGCAACCATGCAGACATAGCCCATTTATAGAATGACACAAAGGGTGTTAATAAGAATGATTATGGTTTTAATTACAAGACTATAATTCAAATTATCTTTTACTATTTAGTAACAAGAAAAATGGATCTTAACCATTTTCCTACTTTATTATATCTCGGCATTATTTAAATTTTTAAACAATACCAACCTGTTATACAGAGCAAAAGTAAGTCTTATAGAATAAAATATATTATCTTCATTTTTATAGATTTCACAACAGGAAAAAAAACATTGATTTTTGGACCAACGAAAAATTTTTCATGTTCACTTGGGTTATTTGATTTTTCTTGAACTTGTGAATTTTCAATTTCAATGCAAGCTTGCTTAAAAAGGAAATTACTATTTTGTGTTTCAGGTTTCATTTTGATTTTTGGCACAAAAACTAATAATCAAGTCCATCTTCTAGTCAGAATATTTTATTGAACACCCCCAACAATAGAAAAGTAGAAATTAATTTTTTATTCTTTCTTTCAGTTTTCACTACAGTATTGCTTCATTAGCAATGTATTCTTGTTTCTGGAAGATCGGTGGTTTGAGGCATGATAATATTTTTATTAGTCAAAATGATTTCATTCAGATTCTGAACTTTTTCTCTTTTTTTTTTTCTTTTTCTCTGATAGAAATCTCTTCTCTTATGTCATCGCACTGTATTACTATCCTTGAGACTTTTTCCCACTAATAAACAAGAAAGGTCAGCATTCTAGCATTTGAAGTAGAAACTATAAATTTAAAGAGTTCCGATTTAAAACCTGAACTTTATATTTCATTTTTGTAAAGATCTAGTGGTTTATGATTGATTACCTTTAAGCCATAAGTTTAATAAGTATGACATGATACTTGTTTAAAATTAATAATTTAAAACAAAAATTTAGGTTACCTGAATTTCTAGAGACCCCGCCAGAGTCATTACTGCTCGACAAATTTGAATATTTTCTAGTCTTATTAGAATGTTGTCTATCACAGGTGCAGGAACGTTTTCAACTGGGGAAGATTTCTCTTTGAAGAAGTTTTCAACACTTAAATCTCCTGGTTTAACGAATATATAAATTAATTCAGAATTGATCATTATATTACATGCCAGAAAGAAATCAAAATATATGACAACCTAAACAAAAAATTATAAGATTCGGAGATGAGATTTTTTGTGGAAATAAAAATGATGGTGTTCGAATATCTATAGCCAAGTGTATTCGTGTACTGCATGAACGGAGAGAGGAAAATTTCTCCAGGCAATACTTTTCCAAATTGAAAATTAAAGTCGGGATAAGGGCTGGTCTTACAAAAGGCTCCATGAATTGCTAAAAGAAAAATTCACATTAATCACCAGTAAAGAAGTTTAACTACAAGTTGAAGAAAAAATACCTGAAAATCGAGAATCATTTTACAAAAGAAAACCAATTGTATTCTTCCTACATGGATTTTTAAAGTTCCATCAGACTTCACATCATCTTTCTTTGTATCAATATCTGGATTCTTATAAAAACGAGGACTATGCCTTACATATTTCATGTCTAAAACTTTTTCATCTTCAACAGAAAGAATCTAAAAATAATAATAATAAAATGGTAATACAATAGGGCACGTAATTAATCAATAAAATTAAACACCACAAATTAAACTGACATAATTAATTAAAGTAAAACATTATTAGAAAGTTTTAAATTGGTTTCTAATTAAAGAATTAGTATTATAAAAAGCTTGAAAATTGTATTTATTATTTAATTAGAGCAAAAAATAAATAAATAATAAAACTTACCAAATAATTAAATAAATAAAAATATAATGAATTATCACAATTACCTTAGGATAAAGAGTCATATCGGAGAGATCATCAATAGTTATACGAGCAAGATAAAATCGTAACACCATTCGCTCATTTGCTTTAAAGAGACAGTCACTTTCTAATCCACCAATCTAAAAAAAAATAACAGAAAAATTATTCATATTAGTCATTTTTAAGAACTATCTTCAAATAAATTAAATGTTTCATTATGCTCATATATAGGCATAGTTATTATTTTATGATTGGTAATTCTATAGAAAATACTTTGTAGTATAATAAACAATTAAAAAAAAAACTTTAAGTTTTATTAACAACTAAAAGTTTGAAATATAGTAGAAGAGAACTTTAGGAGTTTTTTAATAAGAAGAATTACTTTATCAGAATAAACATATTGAAATGTCCCACATAGAATGCATTAAGATTATTACTTTTACATTATGTCAATAATTTGAGTTTTTATTTCATATATACTTTAATTTCCAGGAACTCCATCTCAGTGTCACAGAACTTCAGTTTTAATTCTTGGAGGCGAGTTGAATAGCTGAATTTAGTAGCTCCAGGCGGAATAGGCGGATCATTCTGTTTCTCCCAAATTTCATTTAGTGGCTCTATTGTCCATTTTCCAAATATTTTATGACACAGAACAATTTCTCTGCTCTGAACTCTATAAATAAATAACATTATAGTAAATAGATAAAAGTGTTTGTATGTAACTATATGTACAGGATGTTCCAATCAAATTCTCTACTCAATAATAAAGATAATAGTAGCTGAAATTTATTGGAAGTGCAGTTAAAAATTAAAGTGCACACAAAGAAAAAACTTTATTTTAATCAGATATAGTGATTAAAAATTAAACTATTATTAATTTTAATCATAACATTAGTTTGTATACAAACTACAGTTCACTACAATGCAGAGTACTACAGTCCAATTAGTTCATTATAAAATAGTTGGTACTAATGAACAAATAAAATTAGAGTAGAATAAAAAAAATCAAGAAACTGTAACAGGTGCATTTGGGTTAATTGGTTATGGAGATAAGTAAAATTTATGAATTCTTAGAAAACTGAATTCAAATTAGCTGTATCTACTGTAAATCTGATTATTATCAACCTACTATGGATCAAATATAGAACTTGTGTGAATGAAAAGAAGAATCATTAATAATACATAACTTTATCGCTTTATCATTAGTAATAATTCAATTTTTCCTAAAAATGGAGATATCCCATTTATCCACTTGATGTTTCAATTATATATAATTTTATGTGAAATAAAGACATGAAATTTCCTGATTTTGGTTCATGGTTTGAACTGGAAAAATGTTTTATACTGGATTTTTTGTCGATCCAATCAATTGATGTCCAAAAAATAATTGTCTACTATTCTTTAAGTATGATCAATAACCAAGAAAAAATATTGTTAAGGTAGAAAGATAAAAATCTTACTTTTGCAAAAGGTATTGGAGATATTTATTTAGTGTAACGAACGCTTCTCTATGAAGTATAACACTTGCTCGAGTAAAGTCCAACACAAGAGATTGTTCAACACTGTGGAAGTGTGATTTGAAGTCTGGGCAATCAGATCTTACCTACAACAACAAATCATAGGACAAAATAATCAACAACAATCCTTTATATTATAAAGGCTTCATCAAAAAGTGATTTTTTTTTTTAATTGGATGGAGTTTCAAATAGTAAATATATGTTTGTATTCTTCCTCAGCTTGAAAAGTGGAAAATTATAATTACTTCGTGTACTTGAAATACAATGAAAGTAAATAATCACTTTTTGACAAATTAGAATTTTATTGAAATATTTCAAGTTTAAATGATGTTTAGTCCTCAAGTACACATATCTTTTGGAGTCATACAAGTACCTTTGTCATGGCAAATAGCAAATTTCTTATTTATTCCAAAGATAAATAAGAAAGCCCTTCACAATGGAAATGGATGGTATATAATTATACAAACGATCATGGAACTCCTATACAGGATAGAAATAAATCCCATGGAATATTTATAGGATCATGTCAATCCACAGTTCATAAATAAAAATAAAACATCCGTAAAATATCTTGAAATTAAATTGTTCACAGTTTACCTCCATGAATGCCTAAATAAAATGGTACTAAAATTCAAAGGACTTCATTCAAGATATTAATTTGAAATTTTTGACTAAAATCAATACATAAATTATTATATAATATGAATATGTATGAAAACTTTTTTTGCCTTGAAATTTTTATTTTATATTTAAATTTTTTATTAAAAATATATGTATTCATTGGTATAATTTTTAACAAAATTAATAAAAGTGGTATTGAAGTTGTACTTAGGACATTTAAATAAAAAATTCAGAAAAGAATTGTTTTTTTATGTATTCTATTGTTTTAAAACAATGTGTGTATGAAAACTTTTGCTGGCCAACGTAATCCCATTAACAAATAAAAGTAACATATAAACTAATAATAAAAAGGACAAGATTGAATAATATATTTACACAACTCTTAATAAGTACCTTCCTATACAAAAGAGAGGCAACATCAGCTGAGGGATCAGTTGAAATCAGTTCAAGGTATTCTCCAGAATTTCCAGTATGAAGCTTGTCAACCAGTTGAACAGATCCAAGAGTAGCCTGAATCGCAGGCCCGTACTCCATCAGAGCAGCATCACAACATATCTTTGCAATTCTCAGCATTAAATAAGGTTTATCTATACGATTGCATGATCTACAAAGTTGAACGACTATCTGAAATTCATATATGAAAATCAAAATTAGTGATAAATAATATTTTAAATTCATAATAATTAAAAATAATTTTAACAAATGCCAAGAGAAAATTGTCGAAGGCATTGCAATTTTGAATAATTAATTGGTATATTCCAAATAAAAAATAATTTAATTAATGTTAAAAAAAAAAGAGCAATTTGTTTCGACACTAAATAAAAGCTAAAATTATTACCTCACCGATCATGAATCTAAGAAGCATATTAATAATATTGTTTGGTGAAACATTGTCATCAAATCCAGGTAAGTCAACAGTTCTAGCCCATTGTTCATTTTCTTCATCACTTACTTCAGAGGAAATGAAGTTTCTAAAATAATAAAAATAAAAAAGATTTGAATAATCACTTTCTTTAAACCTAATATTTAGATTATCCATTTTAGGTTTATAACATTCTAGAAGAATGCTTTACTTCAAATAATTATTAAAACCCCTTAGACTAAATAAATGGACTTTTTTTTCTGTACACTTTTTTTTTTTTAATGAGCAGACTAATGGACAAAATTCTTTTCGATGATTTCCAGATTGTTTGGTTCATAACTGAGCATTGACTGAATAAGTCATTCAGCCTCTACAATGTTTCTTGAGGATTAACACACTTATATTCTCCAACTAGGACAAGAAGAACAGGTTATCTTATTGGTAACCACCAGCAGATCCAGGAGGATTTAATTTTGGGGGCTTCAGACCAAAAGTTTTATATATATATATATATATATATATAATACTTATAGAGGTAATTTTTTAATGTTTTTTTCATAAGACATGGTTATATTTTGGCATTTTGGGGGGTTCCAGCCCATAAGCTTTTCCCTTCTCTCCCTAGATATGTACGTGCAGATGAGCAATCTATTCAAGCCAGGATAAGAAGGTCAAGAGTTATTTTATGAGTCCATCAATAAAATAAATTTTAATTTATTTATGATAGACTGAAACCAACTTAAATTAATTCAATTTATTCTTAGTAGAATTTAAATAAAAGACTGTGCAAGTGATGAAAATCTCTGAATCTATATCCCAAAAATATTTTTTTTAAAATTTATATTTAATTCATGAAATTAGATAATTATAAAGGAATATGGGATTGAATTGATTTGTTTATAAAAAACTTTCAAACCAATCCACCTTTGAACATACTTTAATGTACAAGCATAATCCACACCATGAATGGCTTGATATGGATTTATGATTTTATATTATGATATAAGGGATGCCTTCTTTTAAAATATAAAAATAATATTAAAGCACATGTAATATACTCTGTGATTTATGACTTTAAATTATGATGTAAGGGATACCTTCTTTTAAAATATAAAAATAATATTAAAGCACATATAATACACTCTGACTTATTGCAGCAGTACAATAAGAAAGAATTAAAGTCAACTTGGCACATTAATAAGAAAATATTAAGTATTCAAATACCCTCAAGCCATAGAAGTTAAGGGATGATGTTGAGTCCTTTTTTTAGAAAAAAATTAAATGATGTGTTAATCGAAATACTTCATAAAGATACCAAATCAAGATATGAATTTTAGCTTACACTAATAAGTGTATTTTAACTATAGCTTACTTATCAACTTGAAGCATTGCCATTTTTGCTCCAGCCTTATCTATGTTAGAGAGTTCAATTTTATTTTGTTTCTTCAATTCAGATTCGACAATTAAAATTTTAATTCTAGTAAGAAGATCAACTGTCGGGTCTCCTCTAAATTCATCATTAGTCAACTCTGGGATAGAAGCCAGATATACAACATTGGAAGATATAGAAACATGGACTGTATTAGGGCTAGGTAATGGTATGTTATCCAGAAAATCCATTACTGATCCAATTTTGCGGTCTGATATATTAAATTTGATACTTGACAGAGTCACATTGAGTTTATGCCTGCAAGAAATTCACTTAAAATAATCAATGCTGTTCATTTCTACAGACACGTAAGCATCGGACAACATTAGTAATAATAAAAATTATTTCTATAACTAAAAAAAAAGACATACCTAGGTAAAAGCCTATATTCTGGTTTTATACTATTTGAAAACGCAACTTGAGATTGTAGTTTAGGTAACAGATGAAATTCAGAATCATTCAGTTTTTTTGCATCCCGCCATAAATCACCTGAAATCATTAGTAAACTAAAAAATTGTTTTAAACTAGTTAAAAAGTTAATTTGATAGAGAAATAATAGCTGACCTGAATCACAAAATAATATTTGGAATTCTGAAAACTCCATATAAAATCTATCATACAATTTCTCTTCCATTTCCATTTGAGTTGCATCTTCAAGATTAATGTTGTTTGGTTGAAGTTCACTACTAATTTTAATATGTCCTAAATCGATAATTAGCAAGTTACCTCCTCTAAAATTAATGAAAAAATAACATAATTTTAGAAAATAAGGTTAAGAAATAATAATCTTAAATGCATCTTCCCATCTTAAAATTAAAAAGTATATAAAACATAAACTGAATTTTGTTATTCAAGCACCCAGTATATTAATTTATTTTCCTTACATCTATAAATTTACTGACACAAAAAAAAAAACTTACTTTTGAAGAGTACCCAATTCAGGTAATACAATATAAGGAAGTTTGAGATCAATATTAAGCTCCATAGCACTACACCTTCGTATCGCTTTGGCTGACACAGATTTGATACCACTTAAACAACTATCAGTCACAGAATAACAAATCTGTGATAAGGATTCTGTTGCAGTTTGCACAAAACTCATCAATTCTGAAATAGCATGCTAGAAAAAAATTGTTAAATTAACAGTTTAACATAAGAAAATAAATATGACATAGACGATTCAATTGAAAATGATAATTGTACTGCTAACTGATTATCCATGACACTAATGAGCTGTAATGACTTTTAATGGAGTAAAAATGTATTCAAATTCTTGAAGCACTTATTGTACCATATTTCAGAACCAAACAGCTAGAAAAGTGGTACTAGCGTCATTACCACCCTTTAATATATGTCATATCTGATGTAATTTTTATTACTTTTGCTTCCTCCCTACCGAAGGTAGGGAAGCATTGTGTTCGTGCGAGAGATTAAAAATTTTTTTTTACTCAGAATCGAAAATTTTCACTCGCGTTTTACGTTTCAGACATCAAGGATCAAATTTGGTTTGGTGTCTATCTGTAGTCAAATCGATGTGACGGGCATATCACCTAGTACTGTTCATCCAATCTTCATGAAATTTTCACCAATTATGCTGATTGGTGCCTAGATGGTCCCATATCCATTTTATTAAATTCCATCTAGCACTTCCGCTTACGCACGCGCAAACGTATATTTTTAGATATGCCAATATTTCAAAAAGGGCTCGTTAGATTTGGCTCAAAGTTAGAAAAAAGGTAGAATTCGGTGAAAAAATAATGTTGTGTCAATTTTATTGAATTCTGTCCACCACTTTCTCTTATATATGCACTACTAGTCCGCCGTTCCCCGTCTGCCCATTTTTTCCGAAACTACTGGACCGATATTTTTCGAATTGGGATATAAAATCAGAAGTCATCCGAGGATAATCCTCCTTCAACGACATTACTATTCGCCTTCTAGTTTCAAAATGGCGGCCGAAAAACCTGTGTTGCTATAGACTGTAGCGCCTAAACAAATGTACCGATTTTAATGAAACTTCGCTAAAGTTATTTTCTCTACGCCCTTTAAATTTATCTATATACCATACTTCAACGAAAAGAAGCTCAAAAAAAAGTTATGAGGGATGGTAAAATTAAATTCCGAATAACTCAAGAAGTATACACATTTTTGTGAATATTGTATATGGTTTTTTAAAAGTTTACGGAATTTCCTAAAAAACAAAAGAAAATTTGATAAATCGGACAATTAGGAGCAAAGATATGGTCGCTAGTTTTTTTTCAGATTTGCTATTGCAAAAGGTTTATCTTTTGTTTTGATGTTTTAATGTGTTACTGAAGTAATGCTATTTTTTTTAGCAAATTACTAATGATTAAAAAAAAGTTTAGTCCAATAATTGAAATCACTTTTTATTTATATCTATGTATATATAATGTATTTATATCTATATATAAATGTATAATTTTTTGGAAATAATATACCATAGTGAAATAATTTGCAGTGGATTTTTTTCAAATTAATTATCATTATATATATATATATATATATATATATATATATATATATATATATATATATATATAAAATCTTTCGGGCTGAAACTCTTCCCCCAAAATTAAATCTGGATCCGGTAGTGTGTATCACTATTATTAGAGCAAAAGTTCGTATTTAAAAATTTTCAACTTTATTTCTATGTGTATTAAAGGTGACATTTTGTAGTCTGCAACTGATATAAGTAGTCTGCTAATATGGAAAATAGCAGATGACAATAAAATATGAAATTATTCTAATCTAACATAAGGATATAATGAGTTTTTATGCACTCTTGTAAAACAATAAATAAATTTTTAAATAAGACCTTGGTAAAATATAAATTAAAACTTTTATAAGGTAATTAAATTACCTACAGAACAAAAAAAAATTCATTGGAATTATTAGCGATGATACAGCGTATTCTATTTTCTACACCTCTTAATTTATTATTTTCCTACCTATAGGTAAGAAAAGTATTGCGATCATATCAAATTTTTGATGCGTGGTTTTTGATGGATCTATGCTTTCCAGAGCCTACTGAGACTGGAAAACACATTTTAGCATGTTTTTTGAAAGGTAATGAAATTCCCATTGAAACTATATAAAAATAGTTAATTTTGAACAACTACTAACGAAGTTACAGCTATTCAATTTTGTATGTAAGATTACGAGTTCAAATCCTGGTGCCAGAAAGGGTTAAAAGTGAGATTAAAAAGAAAAGTAGCTGTAAAAAAATCTGGTACCTGCATCACACAAGTTTCACTTCCCTCTATAATTTTAACAGAAATTATTGTCTAACAAAATTGGGCTAATTCAAAAAAGTATTTGATTAAAAATGTCAGAGAGTATTGAATTTTTTACACTGATTTTCCACAAGCAAGTAAACATTGCTTTAGTTAATCAAAGAAATCATACTCAAATCTTTTCTTTGATACATTTTCAGAAAAATAAATCTAATTCAAGTTTTTTGAAAGACATATTTAAAGATATAAAAACTTTTCAGAAATCGGTAGGAAAGTCGTGTGAGTGGAGACACTAGATTTTTTTTTTATTGAATGTTTTAACCTTTTATAAATGAAAAGTGGGAAGAGTGAGCATTTGAAGATGGTAGTATGCAATAATTCACCATGCCCTTATAACTAAATAAGTTTTATCACCTTTACCGACTACTTTAGCTTTTTTATTTATTGACATCGTTCCAAAATACCCACGATCTCCAGATAAAGAGCCCAACAGGCTCCTAACTCATAGTCTACTGTCACCAGGGCACAGTTCTGTTTTGACTCACACCGTTGCTTGGGTCCAGTTTGCTCTTGATTCATATATGAGTCCACCAAAAGTAAAAGGTAAAGGGTCCAGTAAAGGGTTAAGTAACCCAAGGTAAATGTTTTCAGGAGGTAAGTTATTTTCTTTTTGTTCATTTGGAATGAGTTACAATAAATATAAATTTAAATGATTTTGGGTTTGTGAATATGATAATGTTAAATTATTTTACAAATCCACTTATATTAAAAATTTCTGTAAAGAGGCAAAATTCATAATAAATATTCTAAATATGCATCTAAAAGACCGAATAAACATCAAGTATTCAAAAAATGCAATCTCTAAGAAAAGAGTGTTGGACTATGAATGGCCTATTTCCAGCAATTGCCCCAATTATTAATAAATTATTCTGACTTTTTTTAACAACTTTGTTTAATTTAATGCAAAAAAAAAATAATAAACCTACCTCGTGATAAACAATTTCAACTGGTTCTAGATTGATAGTCAGACCATAATCTGCTTCTGAATTGAGAGGATTCTTTTCAAAATCAATAGACAGAAAATTTGAAGCTGTATTCCCTAAAAAATAAAAGTTGTTAATCATTGATTTTAATTTGAATCATCAAACTTGAAAATCAGTTGAGCCATTCACTCAAAAAGTCATTAGATACCTACTAACAGTCAAACTTACACTATCCTCCTTACACCTATGCCAAAGTCGAGGTATAAAAACAATGTGAAAATAAATAAAATATTTATTTAAGATATAGACATTTAATATTAATTAAAGAATAGCTTGGTAAAATTTTAAAAATTTTTTTTATTTATTTTTAAAATTTGAATATTTAAGAATACATATCTAACTGTGTATTATATCAATGATATAGTAAAATGGTTCATTGGACCAATTGTCAGAAGTAAAAAAAAACATTATTTTATTAAAGTAAAGATTGTTCAAAATTCTATTGAACTATATTATAATTAGCACATTCTAAATATAACAAAATAGGAAGGTAAAAACCATATTATATAAATATTTAGAAAAATATTCACCAGTGTAAATATTGTCTGCTGTGATAATTGGAACCAAGTCATGTTCCAGACTGATTCCTTCAATTACAAAACTTTCAACCCTTCCAGAAAGTTTAAATGCCTTTGCTGATGGCCTAGTCTCAAGACTAGCAAGAAACTGAGCTAGGGTTAGAACCATCACTTCATGACCACGATTCAGTAAACTAAGTGAACAATTAGCCAATGTAAAGTTCACCTTATGTTCTGGAAAAAAGAAAGAAACTTCTAATAATAAACTTATAATAATAATAAAAATAAAATAATAAAATATAATAATAAACTTAGTGTTCAGAAAGTTTCACAATGAAAGTAAGTTTGGAATGGAACTTTTGGAATAAATAAACTTTTAAAAAATGAAAACTAAAATCATTGAAAATAACATCTCTTAACAGCGACAAAATGATAAGAGAATTTTATTAAAAACATAGCCTACCAGACAATATTAGAAAACCTTTTTTCACTAACACTTGCTGTAAGGATCATTTCTTAAAATGGTTAGAGTTAGATAAAAATGATTTTCATCAATATCTTCTTCTTCTTTCTCTATCTCCTTTGTGCTGTTATGGAGTAATCTTGCTCCAGCTTCGGTATGTGTCCCTATCCTGGGCCTTCCTTTTCATCTCCTGCAGGGTTGACCCCCGCTCTCGTTGGAGTCTAACAATATAACTATTATATGTGATTCTCGGGAGTCCAACCAGTTGCTGACCCCTCGATCTGTCCTTCATCAGCCACCTAGCTCTATGCTCATCTTCCATCCTGCAGACAAGTTCATACCACTTGAGTTGGCGTTCCATTATGATGTCCCTTACATGTCTAACTCCAAGGGTATCTTTAATTGTCCTGTTCTTCACAGTCTCTTCTCGTCATTCCAGCAACTCTTCTGAGATACCTCATTTCTACTGACGTTATTCGTGAGGCATTCTTACCCAAGAGAACCCAGCTCTGAGCTCCATATAACAAAACTGGGAGGAAGACAGATCTAAAGATGTGAAATTCTTGTATTTAGGTCTCCTATGAGGATAATACTCCTATTTCTAGTGGTTGCTGAGTCAACAGTTCACTGAAGGTTTTCATAGAAGTTCTCCTTATCCCCGACACTGTTATTCTCTGTAAGAGCATATACTTGAATACACATAACTTTTCCTATCATGAGTTCGATATTCATTATTATGATTCTGGAAGATATGACCTCTCATTTATTTATCCTGTTGTACAGGTCATACCTCAAAACAAACGCCACTTCCTCCTTGGTTCTTCCAGCATTTACTCCTGAGAACATCATTGTGAATCCAAATGATCCAATTAATTCAAAATCTAGCAGATCCTTGGGTTATTACAAAAAATCATTAAGTGAAGTTCCATTGCCTTAAATAATTAAAAGCTTTGAATTTTCCTTTAATGAAACCAGAAAATTGTGTGCTTGTTACAACTATATTTGATATATAAAGTGTTTAAATCATTTTCGTGTACTTATAGTGTTTTTGTATCAATAAAAAGAGTAGAAATCCAAAAAACATATTTGAAAGTAAATCTACATAAAAAATGTACTTAGCAACTTTTTACAATAAACCTATGATATCATCTACCGATAAATTCATTTTAAAAATTGATTGATTGATATATTTATTAGAGAAAATGATGATGATATACTGATCATATAAAAGCCTTGGTTGATTTTATAAAAACCAATATATATATAAGAAATTAACTTAATATAAAATGCAGATCATTGATTGCCTATCAACTTATTTCATCAAGAGCTGGGTATTTTGGACAGCTGTACATTTACTCAGTGAATCAACCACAATTTAATTTTATATACCTCAGTCAAAATCAAAATTGGTCAGCCGAGGATGCTAATGTACCCTTATAAACATTTTTAAATAGAGAAAATTGAAAACATAAATTGTTAAAATGAATTAAGATTACCAATATACTGTTTTGGTTTTTCAATTTCTCCTGATGCTGCCTCATTGTAACCAATTGCGTCACATAACATCGTTTTTTCCGAAGGTGACAATTGAGCCCAAATTCCTCTACCAGTTCCTGCAGTAACATGCAGTTCAGGGTGGGGTTCCGAGTCTGCCCCTTTCTTCCACCAAATGCCTCCTTTTTCATAAGCTTTGACCCTTTCAGGTTCTTCCTTCAACAGCTGAAAATTAAATAATAAATATGAACACAATTCAGTGGTATATTCTATTAATGTTATTGTTATTTTCTATTTAATAACCTGAATTTTAGCATGCTCCCGAGCTATGATGATATCTGTAATTGATAATAGATCTTCACATTGCTGCAAGTCAAGTTTTAATTCAGTGTCCGTTGGTTTCAATAAGGTTTGTTTATAAATATCTCTGTACCGTCGATAATTTTTCCTATAGAATTTATGAAATATAAAAAATTAATATCAGTTCATATTAATGAGTTCCATAGAACAAATTAGAAAAAAAATTGGATACTATAAGCATTTAACAGAATGTCACAGAAGGTGGGTCTGTGGTATCTAACCTTTTCTTATTCATACTTAACATATAATTAGTATAATTTTAAACAGATTGGCTCCCTTCTAGAATCGATAGAAAAAGAAATATATATATAATAATATATACATACATATACCGATAGAAGAAATATAATTGGTACTCCCACTCGCCTTAGAAAAGTGGATATTCAGAAACCTAGCGTACTTAAAAATAAATATATATATAAATCTGCTAAGCCTCAGTACCCAATAAGTTATATCAATAATGTTACACAGCTACGTTCAAATACTAACCTATGATTTGAAATTCGACTCCAAGTATAAGGCCTTACTCTTTGTTCTAACACTCCATTATAAAGATACTTCCACCATTCTGCCACATTACCATTCACTGATTTATTTGGATGGTACTGTCTATACTTTCTGAAAAGGTCAAAGATTGATCAAGATGAATCAATGATGTATAATTGAAAATATATATAATTATAATATAATACCTATTAATATTTATCCGTTTAAAGGAATCCATGAGGTCTATGAGTACAAGATATTGCTGTCTAGAAAGTTGTGTAGCAGCATCTTGTAATACAAAATCGACAAGTAGTTTAGGTACCCTTGCTTCATTTGATTTATTCACAATCAGTTTCATTTTTGCTGTTATTGGTTTTAAAACTGCAATAAGGAATTTGTTTAAAGCCTTAACATGAACCATGAAATATATTAATTAAATGTCAATAAAACAATCACAAACATAGGATTTAACACAATTGAGAACTCACTGAATTCAAATTCCTCTCCTTTCACACTAAACGTTTCAAGGCCTCTTTTCATGTCTGACCTCCAAGTATAAGGTGCAGCAGAGTCTTGGCCAGGTGCTTTTCCAACTAGTTGTGAGCATCCTGGGTTACAATAAATTGATAGTGATTCAACCTTAACCATTTGATAAACTGATGATAGTCCCTGCTGTGAGGTAGTTGGTTTCCATTTGCTGAAACAAATAACAGATAATTAATAAAAGCAATATATTATAATACCACAATATAATGTTAAAATGAAATCCCGTTCCAATTCCGTAGGCCCAGATGGCATTCCTATTAAACTAATAAAATTATGTCTCCTTGAAATCCTCCCAGCTCTCCTTTTCATCTACAATTTCTCCCTACAGAATTCAATATTCCCGACCTCTTGGAAAAAGCCATTGTCCTTCCTTTAAACAAAAAGCCTAATCCATCCTCTCCCAAAGATTTCTGCCCAATATCAATTCTTTCCAATCTTTCGAAACCCCTAGAAAGGTTAGTGCAACCCCAAGTTTCCAACTTCCTTGAACAATCTAACCAACTTGATCCTCTCCAATCTGGCTTCCGTCCTGGCTACTCTGCACAATCTGCTCTGATTAAAATTACCAATGATATTCAGACTGCAATAGATGACAAAAAACTAACTATACTTATACTTTTTGATTTCTCCAAAGCCTTCGATTCCATTATCCATTCCATCCTTTTCAACAAACTAAAATCATTATCCTTCTCCAATAGTTCCATTTCTTGGTTCCAGTCTTTCCTCTCACAACGAACCCAAGAAGTTTCCATACCTAATCAACCTCTATCTGCCTACCTTCCTTTATCTTCTGGAGTTGCACAGGGTTCAAACATGTCTCCTCTTCTTTTCAGCTCTTATATTAATGACCTAAATGATTCAATCATCCATTGTTCCCACCACCTTTATGGCGACGATTCTCAAATCTATTTATCCTTTTCTCCCGCTGAGTTATTGGTGGCATTTGCCAAAATTCAAGAAGATTTAGATCGAATTAGTGCCTGGGCCAACTTAAATGGATTAAGGCTAAATGCTGCCAAAACTCAGGCCATTCTCATTGGTTCTAAGCCCCTTCTTAGATCCCACACCAACTTTCCCTCACTCTATCTAAACAACCACCTCATCACCTTCTATCCCTTTGTTAAAAATTTAGGCGTTTTCATAGATCAAACCCTTTCCTGAAATCACCATATCTCTCATATATCCCGTCATACAATTTCTACCCTCAAACTATCCCATCACTTAGGCCATCTTCTACCCCAAAATACCCGTAGACTCCAAGTTTCCTCTCTCATCTTTCTCCACTTTGACTACAGTTGTGTGGTGTACAATGGCCTCTCGGTGGAACTCCGTGATAGACTCAAAAGACTTATGAATAGCTTCGTAAGATTTGTAATTGGGACCTCGAGACGCTCCCGTGTCTCCCACCACTACACTGAGTTAGGGTGGCTCTTCCCCTCCTTAAGAAGACAATATTTCCTAGGCATTTTCCTTTATCAAATCATTACCGATCATCGTCCTTCTTATGCCTACAACCTTCTCCAATTTAAGTCCTCAATCCATCCCCTCACTACAAGATCTCGACCCTCTGACCTATACATCCCTTCTCATAGATCTGCCTCATTCCAAAATTTCTTTATAGCCGGCTCTGTCAACTTTTGGAATTCCCTCCCGATCAAAATTTGGCATGCCCCTCCTTATACACATTCAAAAACCTCCTATTCCAATTCCTGTTCCAAAAACAGTCAGATACCAGCTAACTATTATTACTATATATGTATTGTGTAGCAATCATATAATCATATCATAATAATACTCGGTAAGAGATAGTACATGCATTTCCTACTATCGACGTAGAAATTTCAATATACATTTTTTTTTTATTCAATTATAATTAACTGTTTATTTTTATATATATATACAAGTAAAGTTTTTTTTATGAAATGAAGTTATTCTATCTCTTTTTCGTTCTTCATTTCTCAAAGTGTATGTTTATGTTGTTCAACCCTTATATATAGTTTTGTTCATAGTTCAAGTGATTCCTTCATAGTTTTAATTGTTTTGTTCATAGTTTTAAATGCTCTGTACATAGTTTTTCTGTATTGTATATAGCTTGTGCACCTAAGGTTTTCTTTACTTTTTAGTTTATTTTATCAATTTTATTTATTGTTTCAAACTTTCAGGCCAGTAATATTCTATTCTTTTGTACAATATTGTTATTCTAAAGGGACTTAGTCCCAGAAAAAAGTTTTTTTTTCTATCTATCTATCTATAATAGTAAAACGTAAACAACTGACAAATAGTAAGTTGCTATTAAAAAATTACTAACAGTGTAAATTACTTTAATATAATTCATTGTTGAAGATCTTTAACAACTAAATTTTAAGACTATAAAAGCACCAACATGTATCATAATGTAATCACTCGGAATCAATGAACATGGTACAACTACGTTATGAATTTTGCATTATAGAATAATCAATACCTATTTGTGGTTTCTATAGAAAGACTCTGAAGGCACAATCCACATGCAAATAAAGAATCACTGTTTAGCTTTGAATCCTCATAACGAACATGAATATTATGAATAAACACTTGCAAATTATTCATAATAGTTGTGATCAAATTTTCTACAAAACTAGATGATTCTGGAGCATCTGAAAATGAAACTAAACTGTAAAAATAAGTTCCAAAATAAAGAAAAAATATACAGACCAAAATATATAAATTTTCACCTGTTCCTAAAAAATGGCCAATTTCTAAAAGTTCTAATTTTCTTCGTTTTGAAGCTCTAATTAATCTTTTTTCTTTTTCTGGATCATATTCTCGATCTGTGATTGGAGCAACAATTACATAAACATCCTGTAAATCATTGATTAATTAGAAATTATAGCTTTAACATTTTATTAAAAAGTAACTAATAATAAAGTAATAATGTATAAAAATGTAACAAATGTATTGTTTATTATTTTCAATACATAATAAGTTATATTAAATTATTACTTCGTGCCTTAAGTTGGATTTACTTTTAAAAATATATAATTATAAGTTATTTACCTCCATTTCTATTGCTACTGACTGTTTGTTGAAACATCCCCATGGTATTTTTATGTTTATTCTACCAATTGTTCCAACTTTCACTTCAATTGGCAAATCTAGTTCATACTAAAACAAAAATTGGTTAATAAATTGCAATAGTACAATTCTAACATAGCAGTAACAGAACCTGGATGATTTTTCTATCAAGAAAATTAAATTACATAAGTTCTGAATAAGACTGGAAATATTTTAGGGTCTACTTACAGCATTTACATTCTACTAATAAGTTTATAAAATCGATATCGTTATTTAAGAAACTGCATAGATGAAGCTAAGAAATTATTAATCTGATTGTCATAATACTTTTCTTTTAAATCAGGGATCACCAAACTTTTTGGCCTATGGGTGACATATAGACCTCAACTAAGTTCCTTGGGCCATTGTTAATGATGAAAAAAAAAGGTCTTGTTTTATAAATGTCACTTCAGCTGTGAAATGAGCTATCTAAGAGGAAAAAAACATGGAATATAAGTTGTAGTAACCTCCTGTGCGGGTAATTTTCTTAATTTCATATTTTTAAATAGTTTTCAAATTTTACAATCTTATCAAAGAAACGTTCGCAGTCCGATTGAAGGTGCTTCCGGGCCGTACTTTAGAAACCTCTGGTTTAAATAAATCAGGAGTACCCTTCTACTTCTCATCTTCCTTTCCCTTCTCCCCTCCCCCCCAAAGTTCGATGGAACACGAACCTTTCTTCTTAATAACAGTGCAACGAAAATAAAATTAAAAACACCGAAGATCATAAAAAAAAAAAAAATTTGCTGATTATTGTTCCATTTTTTTCTACTTGTCCCCTGGTTTGAAACTTGTCATTTCACGTTTCAAACTTCCAAAAAATTCACAACCCTGTCGAAATGTATTCACCCCAAAAGTTTTGATTTAATAATTTGAAACCTCCTTCTGGGCATCGCTAAAATAAACCAATTTTAAGATTTAAATCGCGTGAACATATTATTTTTTTTTCTCTTTCTCCCCATACCCCTACCTCTCTATGTTGACATTTCTGGCATATTAGGGGGTTGTTCTAAAGGTACAACCAAACCTATTCTAAAAAGAGTAAGAAGGTTTAGATATATACTGTGAGTTTGCCAAGGTTTATATAATTGGGGTGATTACATTGCGGCGGATAAAATGAGTGTATAAAATTGCTGAGTAATGAAAGAAATGTTAATATACGCTATGTCAAATGACAATCTCTATTAGGGTAGACCGATGCAGGTGGGAGGATTGAGTTATGAGCTGATCTGGAGAGGTTGGATTTGGACGCATCCTGGTGGATGGAATAATGTAGACTGCGATTGGTAGTAGCGGTACAGAATCTTCCAGTTCACAAAGTCTACTTTAGGGGTCAGAAGGGCCGAGAGACAGTTTGTCCCACAATACCTTGATAGCTTGTCTCAAAATTATCACTTAAAAATGAGATATTGAATTCATATGTCAATAAATAGTGGTCCTTTATGATAACAATTTCTAAATATTATCTGATAATAAGTCGCTTCACGCCTGTTTTGTGGATACCAAAGTATACTCATAAAATTACATTGATTTTCAGTTTTTCCTACTTAATCGACTTAAAGAAAAGAAAATTGGCTTTTAATAGAATATTTTCTGGACTGTCTTTATTTAATTGAGGAAAGTTTTAATGCTGAAACAAATAACACTGGAAAGATTTCTCAGTTAAAAATCTGTTTATCCTTTGCACTGACGGATATACGGGAAGAGGTAGGGGGGCTTTCGGGCTGAAGCCCTCCCACTCTTCCCAAAATGGTAAAATATAACCATGTATAATGGAAAAAATATTTTAAAAAGTATTATTATTAGTCTGATTATATTTAATTGGACCTCAAGAGTCAATTAACTATAATTTCATGTATATAGTTAGTTTCTTTCTTTTTCTTCCAAGATAATTATCATAATATATATTAAAAAAAAGTTTTGTGACTGAAGCTTCCTAAAATTAAATCCTGGATGCGTTAGTGACCCTTTGAGTTTTTTCAAAAGATTTAAAATGTATTTTGTTTTTCATTAAGATGAATTTTTCATTCCATAAACCATATTTTTTATTGAAAATGATTCTTTAAATGAGGTATCAGTGCATTATACAAATACATAAATTATCAATTTCACACACTAATACTGTCATTAGCAATAAAATAATCGAAAAAACGGTTAACGGAAACGAAAATAACCAGTGTTCGGTTAAACCGGCCGGTTATGACTTACTTAGCAGAGTTAAGAGTTTTTAATTGAGTTGAAGGAAAGGAGAAGGCGCACAGCTGGATTATAAGATTGTAGAACGCAAAACTTTTTTTCCAGGGTGCCAGCAAAACTAGAACGGCCATTGAATATTTTATAATAACCTAGCCATCCTTCTTTTATGTAATGGTTGATCAATATTTAAACATAAGGCTATTATAAAATATGTATAACATACTTACCAGAGCGTCTGGCTTGATTTTAAGATCTGAAAGTTGAACATCTCCGCCAAAGATGCCGACATTGAGGTTCTCGGTATCTAAGTCCTGGATATACTTCCCCAAGTAACGGTGAAGAAGAGTAGCGACGACCCTTTCGAACATTTTTGTTATCTGAAAAATAAATTGTTGAATTTTTGATCATTCATATCACAAGTGGACTTATGGGGGCCCCACAAAGTAGTAAAATGTAACTATGTTTTATGGCAAAAAATATTAAAAAAATATCTCTCAATGTATTATTGTTCGTGTAATTACATTTAATAGGACTTCAAGAATCATTTAAACACCATTCCATATAGGTATTTAGTGTCTTTCTTTTTTTTTTACAATGTAATTATCGTTATATATATATGAAAAAAAAAGCTTTCGGACTGAAGCCCTTTCCAAAATTAAATCCTGGATCCGCTAATGGTTCATATCATTAAGGAAGTTACATTTACAAAATAGACAAATAAATTGAAATATTTGAGCACTTTTAAAGTTACAGCAATAATTCTTAATTTTCAAATGACTTAAGATAAATTAAATGTATATAAAAGAGTATGGAAAATCAGGATAGTTACGTAGCACCGATTCCGCCATCGTTCCGCCCACAACACTCGTCCACGAGATAAACAAACTCCAATTGGTCTTTTTCAGTAGAGGTCAGGCCTTACCTAATATCTAAAACAGTGGCTGATCCACGGAAGGGGAAAAAAGGTTCTTTATATCCTCCTCTACTAAAAATAGTACTACTGTTAATATATTTTTGTAACGATTTTTGTAAAGAGGACATTTATAAATATGTACTAACATTAAGAAAATCGATCGTTGTAGAGGCATCAATGAAATTAGCTAATTATCTTCTCTATGCTTACAACAATCTATGTTAATAATTCGAGACATAACATAGTTAAATAATCATTTTTTTAATCATCTATCCCAAAGATAAGATAATGTTTCTCCCAAATCCTGTCGACACTTTAATAGTTCCTCTTCCAGGTCTCCGCCCAAGGCATGGAGAGAAAACAGGAGGAGGAGAAAATGGAGGCCCTAGGTCCATGAGGCTGCAGCCCCATAACTAAAGACTTACCAGGAAGAGGTATTTCGTCATAATTTACTTTTAAGTAGTCTTGGCTTCACTGGGAAGGAAATGTTTGAAATTTCATCTACAGTGTAATCACGTGAGATTGTGGTCAGCCACCATGTTGCCTGCCGTTTCCATGCAAGTACCGATTTCTTTATTTATTGAGCTTAATGACAAAAGTTTATATATATTAACTAAAAAAAATCTGAGTGATATATCACATAACAATCACTTATCATCATAGTTTAACCATAAATTATTAAATTCACTTAACGATGAATATTTTTTCTCTCAATCCTCGCCTTTTAGGCTATACAGGTTCCTTCCGGTCCAGGGGAGAGTGCGTCGGATTAATGCCAGAGTTGTTAGCACCCCTGTAATCTTCAGTTTATCACACTTAATCTTTTGTTCATCGCTCGGCACCTTCTCTCCCCTCGTATACCTATATATGAAATATATGTTGAGGGAAAGTATTGCGATCATGAAAATTTTCAAATCTGAGTTTAATTTTTTAGCAGTTTATCAGTGAACTATAAAACAATAACTCAAAATGCTCAATTGTACCTAAATGTGTAGTTCTGTAACAATGAACTACTTTCCACTGTCTTGAAATGGTGAGCAACAGCCACTAGCTTGGCTCCAGCCAACCTATGTAATACAATCAGGGGTGCCCATCTCCCTCTAGGTCGATGGCGCATGAACCCACCCCTCCTATGATATTTAATTGCTCCCTTCTTCTTAAAATAAATAGAATTTAAAAATCGTAGATTATATACAGTTACCCATTCTGCAGTTTGTGCTATGTTTTTCCAAATCTTTTGATATGAACCTTTTCATTTAGAAAATTCATTAGCTTGTCGAAATGAGTTCCCATAGATAATTCAAAACCCCGCCAAAAATGTGCCACACTCAAAAATTTTGATGACGCAACTTGCGCCATGAAACTCTCTTCTGGGCATCCCTGATTACAATTGCGCAAGGTTTCTCAGACGCTAGAGCCGAGCCTGCCCTACGGATACATATCTCTTAGTTTTTAAGGTAAAGTTTAAATGATAATCAAATTTCAGTTATTTCTTAAATTTGTGAACTCAAATGCATACACACATAAATATACATTAAAAGAAACATCAATTGATACATTTCGATGTAATGAATTATGTAAAAAGTTTCAATATGAGTTTTTGTTCCGATCAACGTCTTCATTGTAATATGTTGTCAATAACAATGTGTAATAGATACCAGATAAAAATTTAGTAAAAGAAAATAATAAAAATTTTCACGATCGCAATACTCACCCTTACTATATATTTCATATACAGGTAAGTGAAAGTAAAAAATATTAGTATACATTACAACAGATTTCTTAACTAGTACTTTGGTTATTAGCTTTCCTTGGTGACCCATTAACACCTTTTTTTTTTATAAATCATTTCTAATAAATCAAAAACAATACAACTCTCGATATATTGATGATACTTGTTTAAAAGGTAATTATTAAATTACTTACAAATCATATGAATAATTACTATGATAGCTTAAGCTTATCTGAATTTGGTAGGAAATTCGTGAGAGTGAACAAACCTAACATTTATGGAAAGAGTTCATTTACTAAGAAATTAAAAAAAATATATATCATTGCTGTTAAATTAATTTAATTATTTTTACAATTTTTGTGATTTAAGAGATCGCTTTGGAAAATGAAAGTATAAGGTTCGTTTAAACATTTCACAAACTATGGGAAACACAATTGTCTAACTCAAATTATCTACATCATTATGGGAAACACAATTGTCTAACTCAAATTATTTAAACTATTTCTTTTATTTCTCTTTATAAAAAGATCAGATGAAAATATAAAAAAAAAAAAAGAAATAAAAATACTAGAATAGTGAAATAACCATTTATATATTGGTTTATCTCACAGTTTGTGAAACGTCTATACGCATCTTAATATATAGAGATATATTAGTGTTAACAGAACATCTGGTTTTAAGTATACAACGTTCTACTTTTTCCAGCGTCTCTTACTGATATTGATTCTTGTAATTCACTTATGTAAGTATTATAATTGAAATTAATGGATTCAATTTTGTGTTTAAAAATGAATATGTGCGATTTGTAAATTATTTAGACGTTTCAGTTTGCCGGTATGCCTGATCCTCCCAAAAAACTGACCCAACCCAGGATGAAGGGTCTTCTACAAAGGCAAATTATGTTTAATGTTGGAACTGCCATTACTCTTGGTGTAATAACAGGAGTCCTATTTAGATTGTTCATTTGTGATGTGCGGAAAAAGAAATTTGAAGACTATTACAGGTATTTAATAAAGATCATTAATAAGGTTATGTGAGATTAAAATATGCTAACATTTGTTTTAAAATATATAATGGGGTTAGAATGATCGTGGTGTAACTCAATTTTACTTTTTTTCCAGAAAGTCAAAGTTTTGTATAAGTACCCTAGTAATATACAATGAATGTTATAAATATATCATTATAGTATATGCTATGCCCTTAAAAAAGTATTTACGTATATCACTTAAGTGTATTTAAAAATTTGTTGGTTAAAAATAAAATTCACTTAGAAGGCCGTGGTACAAAACCAAGGCCTCCAATGACTAATTCTCTCGGGCCACCGTCAAATATATATTTCACGATTGGAACCCAATCTCGTCATTTATAATATAAACAGCCGTAATTTTAAATGTCTCGTAGACTATTTAGGATCTATAAGATTTTTATAAACCGACAGTTATTATTTAGGAAAAGCACTGTTATTTGGGCTACGGCTGTGCAAGCAGGTGATTTGACGGAGATCATCAGCCAGGATTTTCCCCCTTAATTAATTATTTTAATTTATTTATTTATTTATAACAATGGAAGGGGCTCCTCAACCTCTTACGGGTCATTAATTAGGAATTTAAAAAAAATTAGGAATGTTGTAGTATAGGAAAGAAAATTATGGAACAACTAATTATTTTGTTTAGATTATTTATTTGATTTGTTATTATAAATTAAATATGTTACGTAACTTATTACTTTGGTTTATGTTAACTATCATCAGTGTCGCACCAATAAACAACAACTTATTTATATGTATACACAACTATAAAAAGTATCTAGAATTTCATTTATACATACATAGAATTACGAATAATATTTCCAAAAATCATAAAGAATTTACATAATAAAGAATTAAATTTATTTTATTTCATTAAGATAAACTGAAGGAGGAAATAACCTGAGCACTCCATAATAACAGAGCTCCTGGAATAGACAGTATTCTGAATGAGGTTATGAAATATGGTATCGGATCTACGGGGAGGCTTTCGGGGTAATGCCCCCTACTCCCCAAAATGGTAAAATATAACCATGTTTTATGGTAAAAAATATTTAAAAAAATATCTCTTAAAGTATTATTGTCCGTGTAATTACATTTAATAGGAATCACATAAACCCCATTTCATATAAGTAGATAGTATCTTTCTTTTGTTTTTTAGAGTAATTATCGTTATTGCTATGTATTGTAAAGACCGCCGGTGGTATTCATTTAATTATTTTAAAGGTATAAATAAATAAATATCATAAGTGGCCACATCTGGCGCTACCTGAGCGAGTGTAACGACCCACAAGCCCAACCTTTTGTAAGTGGTAATAAAAACCTTTAAGAACCACCGACCAAGACCGACAACTGAGTGTTTAAACAGGATCCCGAAAGATCTTTTTACACCTTCCACCAGAAATACGGAAAACTGTACCTGCTGCTTTACCTTGGCCTGGGGGAGAGGGCGTGGTCATCCCTTAGGCTAGGAATATTCAGCCAATCAGAGAAGACTACCAAAAGAGAGGGGAATGAAGAAAGGTGGGAAATAGAGGACTACGACTAAGAGACTTCTTTTTGGGACTCAGCTGAGGAGACTTCTTTTTGGGACTCAGCTGAGGAGACTTATTTTTGGGACTCAGCTGAGGGGACTTCTTTTTGGGACTCAGCGGAGAAGACTTCAAGCGGGGGAGTCGGGGAGGAAGACGAAGACAGCCGGAGAGAGCAGATGGACGGACTAGACGATGAAGGAGAGCAGAGACAGGGAATCAAGATATGACGGCTAGAAACACTATGAAGGACCAGCTAAGTGGTAACAAGCATTTAGTTATACTAATGTAAATTTGTGTTGGCAACCATACATCATTAATTAATATAATCAATATAACACATGTAACTTTAATTGAACATTAAGCATTCTCCTCCAGTATGATTCTCAACTATTCATTATGTATATAGGTTTAGTTATTATTTTGTATATAGATGTTTTTGGTTTTATTTAAGCTTGTCTGGAGGAGACTACAATGCTAAACACCAACGATGGGGTTGTCGAACATCCAACCCCCGCGGTAACATCCTATCACGTGTTTCAACTTCCAACAATTATTCAATCCTTTCGCCCATGAGTCCTACTTATTGGCCAACATCCCTCAAAAAACGTCCCGATATCCTAGATATATTTATAACTTCCCAGATCTCCTCCTCACAAACCATAATCAAATCCCTTGATGACCTTTCTTCAGACCATAGTCCAGTTCTGCTTTCACTACATTCGAGCTATGCTCCTAAACCATCAACTCCTAAATTGATTACAGGACGAGTAAACTGGGACGAATTTCGTGATGATTTGGAAAACAAACTAGACTTAAAAATTCCGCTAAAGACAAAAGACGACATTAATGGTGCCATTGAAAAACTGACAGCGTCAATAACAGACAGTATAAATAATAATACTTTTATCAATAAGTTTAACAATTCACAAAAGACTGACTTGCCACAGCATATTCGTATCTTATTGAAGGAAAAACGCAGAGCAAGATCGAAGTGGCATAGAACCAGATATCCAACAGATAGAACTCATTAAACCCAACTGACTAACAAACTAAAATCTGAAATTAAAAAATACAAAATTCAAAATTTACTAAATTTTACTAAAAAACTTACATCTACCGACAAATCACTATGGACGACCACTAAAAGGCTCCTGAAATTTAAAGACTGTAATCATCCGCTTCTTACTGAAGCTCAAACCTGGTCCAAATCCGATGAAGAAAAATCACAAATCTTTGCTCGTCACCTCTTTAAAACCTTTAATCCACACCCCGATATTCTTAACCCAAATCACCTTGAATGTATTGAAGCAGAACTGGATATCCCACTCCAAATGTCTCTTCCACCTAAAGCCTTTCATCCTTCAGAAATATCCGACATCATTCAAAGGTTACCTTCCCGAAAAGCTCATGGACACGACCTAATTACATCCCAGATCCTAAAACTCCTTCCTCGGAAAGCCATTCTATTCCTTACTTATATATATAATGCTGTACTGCGATCAACATACTTTCCTGACCCTTGGAAATTCTCTATTATCAAAATGATACATAAACCCAAAAAGCCACCAGAAAACCCATCCTCTTATCGCCCTATCTCCCTTTTACCCATCCTAGGCAAAATCCTGGAAAAGCTCATCCTAAAACGCCTGTACCCCATCCTAGATTCTAATCACATTATCCCAGATCATCAATTTGGATTCCGCAGATCCCATTCCACTATCCAGCAATGCCATCGTGTGGTGGATGTTGTCTCCTCTGCATTGGAGCGCGGAATGTACTGCACGGGAGTCTTTCTCGATGTAGAACAGGCTTTTGATCGAGTCTGGCACCCAGGACTGCTTTACAAACTCCATAAATTCCTACATCCTACATACTTCCTCATTATCCGTTCCTATCTTACTGATAGATCCTTCAAAGTAAATCATAATAATGCCTATTCATCCCTTTTTTCCCAGTCCGCTGGTGTTCCTCAAGGTAGTATCCTAGGTCCTATCCTTTACACAGTTTATACAGCTGATATCCCAACCCATCCTAACACAGTCATTACCACGTATGCCAATGATACATGTGTCCGATCAGTTAATAACGACCCAACAATTGCATCCCAAACCCTTCAATCACACATCACAAACCTTGAAGAATGGTGTCAAAACTGGAGAATAAAAATAAATTCCAATAAATCCTATCAAATCACCTTTAACCTTCGTCGTAAACCTATGTCCTCTTGTCCTACAGTATCCTTTAATAATACCCCACTTATTCCTGTTGACCAAATTCGAAACCTTGGACTCCACTTAGACAAACGTCTAACTTGGAATCCTCATACCAGACTGAAACGACAAGAAACAGCTCGACGTTTCCGACTACTCCAGCACTTACTAGATAAACGCTCTAACCTCCCAGTTAATTACAAAAGACTCATATACATGACTACAATAAGACCTATTTGGATTTACGGAGTTGAACTCTGGGGCTCCACTAAGCCATCGAATTCCTCTCGTATTCAATCCTTACAATCCAAAATCCTTCGTAAAATCCTCACTGCTCCTTACTTTGTCACAAACAAAATCATCCATAACGACCTTAATGTTCCTTATGTTTCTGACTTGGCCCAATCCAGATACCTATCCTTCCATAACAAACTTCAGAACCATCCAAACCCTCTCGTTTCTAACCTTGCTTCCTCTTCGATCCCTGACAACCCTCAGAGGCGTCTGAAAAGAAGATGGCCTCGAGATCTCCTTTTGTAAAAACATTTTTAGAGTGCTACCAATGGGTAGTTCCTCAACATGTGATTTCATGCTATTTTATTCCTTTGTTCACATTTACTGAATGTATTTTTACTTGTAATACAGTTGTAAATATCACCAATAAAAAAAAATAAATAAAATAAAATAAAAAAAATTTAAGCTTGTAAATATAATAGTTAGTAAACCAACGTAGTACTTTTACCATCTACCTTGCATGCCACTAGTTAGATATAGAACAAATAGTAAATTTAAAAACATGATACATTTAGAAAGGAAATCCAATAAAAATTATATGGTTCAATCTAGGATACTATAGTAGGGGGTCTGTGGTATCTTACCTTTAAATACCTAATTAATATATTTTTCTGTAGATCGGTTCCCTTCTGGAACCGATATGAATACAAATATAACTATTAAATACAAATAAATGCGGTTCCTGTAATCCCCTACTCGCCGTAGAAACGCGAGGCCAGGAACATAGCAGTTATATATATGAAAAAAAAAACCTTTCGGGCTGAATATGTTATGTTAACTTACAAAATATTTATATTACATCAGATGAAATTCAATTTAACAATGAATTGAAAACACAAAATATTTAAAACAAAAGAAAAAAGAGTCAGCAAAATTTAAATTTTGTTGTATAGGTACGTTATTTGTAGAAATTTAAACAGTTTTTTTTTGCCAATTTGGTGTCATTCTCCAATTTGACTTCATTCCGTTGTGCTTCATATGCATAATACTCGGTCAAAATGTGCCTAACTGTTAAAGCGACCCCGCAGCAGAGACACTGAGGGGGCATCCCCTTTGTCATTAGGTGCTCATAAGTTAGCCGTGAGTGGCCGATTCAGAGCCTTGTCAGTATTATTTCTTCTCTTCTATTTATCTGAAGGTCCGCTCGATTTGATACTACAGAGGGCTCGATCACTCTCAACTTATTCTCTCTTAACACATGCCAAAGACCCTGCCATTTTTCCAGAGCCTTTCTCTTTACCAAAGCTATGACTTCTTTTGGAAAACCATCCCCTACTGGAATTCCTTCCGTGATAGCTTGTTTTGCCATGATATCAGCTAGCTCATTACCTCTAATACCTGAGTGACCCGGTAACAACAAATTATTTTAATTAATGGTACCCACTTTATTGAGGCTGGGTGTGCCTCAGAGGGTCTACTTACCCAGGGTCGCCCTACGGCCAATGAAACAGAATACATAATGCTTCTGCCATCAGCCGGGATTCGAACCTGGGACCTTCATCATTGGAAGCTCAGCACCCGACCACTGATCTACCCCACTCCCTACTCATTAACACTGGAATCGAAAAAAAAAAATTTCTCAAATTTCATCTAGACCAGGAGTGCATTCGATTTTATTTCGAAAACCACAATAAGTGTCATCACTTTAACGGTGATGATATATTGTATTATTACAATCAGTTAAAATGAATTAATCCATGGAAATTCTGTCATGTTATTAAACTTCTAAGATAATGTTATTATGTATTGGCTTATAAAAAATTGCTATAATTATAACCATTTTAAAGTAACATTGAAATTTATTTACAATGTTCAATCAGTTCTAATTTTATTTTTCAGGGAGTTCGACCCAGAAGATGATATTACGAAAATGTTGAAAATGGGTGCCGACTTTCAGAGTTGCCCTGATTTCCGTTAGACCAATTTAAATCTACATCAGCAAGTCTTTTAGCTGTCATATAATGACATAGTTAATTTAGTAAAAAAATTAGGAATGTTGTAGTATAGGAAAGAAAATTATGGAACAACTAATTATTTTGTTTAGATTATTTATTTGATTTGTTATTATAAATAAAATATGATACGTAACTTATTACTTTGCTTTATGTTAACTATCATCAGTGTCGCACCAATAAACAACAACTTATTTATATGTATACACAACTATAAAAAGTATCTAGAATTTCATTTATACATACATAGAATTACGAATAATATTTCCAAAAATCATAAAGAATTTACATAATAAAGAATTAAATTTATTTTATTTCATTAAGATAAACTGAAGGAGGAAATAACCTGAGCACTCGGCTTTCGGGCTAATGCCCCCTCCTCCCCAAAATGGTAAAATGTAACCATGTTTTATGGTAAAAAATATTTTTAAAAATATCTCTTAAAGTATTATTGTCCGTTTAATTACATGTAATAGGAATCACATAAACCCCATTTCATATATGTAGATAGTATCTTTCTTTTGTTTTTTAGAGTAATTATCGTTATATATATATGACAAAAAAACCTTTCGGGCTGAAGCCTCTCCCAAAATGAAATCCTGGATCCGCTAGCGGTGGCGAGACACTGGTGGAGGAGATTTACAGCCTTATATATGACGTCTAAACGGAAATGAAGATGCCACAGGACGGGAATGTGGCAGTTTTATGCCTGTTACATAAGAAACGGGCAGGTTAAAATGCCAAAACTATCGAGGTACTGCCCTCCTGTCCACTATCTACAAGATTCTCTCAGTTGCAATAAATCGAAGAATTGTGACATGGGCAAAGAGAAATATTGGCGAATATAAAAGTGACTTTCGACCAGGGAGAAGTAGAGGAAATATTGTAGATTGTGTGATGCGGGTAACAGTAAACTCGTAATCTTTCATTGGAAATTGAATAGCTGTAACTTCGTTAATAGTTGTCCTAAATGAACGATTATTATGTGGCTTTGTAGGGAATTTCATTACCTTTCAAACGATAGGCGTGTTTTTCTAACAGATGCATCAGTAGTCAAAACCCTACAAAATAAAAAAAGAAGCAACAAAATCGGTTCAGTAGTTCCCGAGAAAATCTTGGCACAGACAGACAGACAGACCAATGACTGAAAATGTGTTTTTCGGACTCAGGGGGCTGTGAAACGTATGGATCCGTCGAAAACCGCATTTCGGAAATTTGACCCGATTGCAATACTTTCCTTACCTAGTATAGGTAGGATAGTAAAAAAGGCTAATACGATCATCCAGAAAAACCTAATACTTATCTTGATTGAGAAGGAGTTAGTTGGGGGATGCGATCAAATAAATACTAAATTTTAAAAATTGTATTTTTACGCCGACGTTTCGAGCCACTCATAGGTCTTCATTAGTGCGTGGTATCGGACACTGTAGGAAGCAGTTGATAGACTGGCAGTCGAAATCTTTGACCGCACCTCCCGACCAACTTCTCATATTATATAACGGTCTATCATCTCTACCTCCTTATTATAAATTATTTGTTGCTCTCGCCGCAAGAACTGAAAAAGGTTCTTTCAATTTTTCAGTTGGGAATTTGATAGAGGGAAGGGAAAAAGGACAGAAAATTGATTTTGAGATTTTAAGTTCTTTTGTGAGTATTTTTCGATAATTACGAAGTTTGACATAAATGTTATCTTACACGAAATTGAATTACTTTATAATCTCTATAAAAATGATTTTAATAATACTTTTAACATCAGTGATGAGGAAATATTAAAGAGATAACATTTATATAATTTCCACGTTTAGCTAAATTTGCTCCAAACACTATGAAATCGCTGGTCGAATATGTTTAATATTTTTATCTTAAAAAAAAAGAAGGAAATATAACCAAAAGATTATTTGTTTTAATGATTTTAAATATCTATCTATCTATGTCTATGGCGCCACAATTCTGAGAGGGCCTTGTCCTCGTCAACAAGCCAACACCATTTGGCTCTGTCTTGTGTTGCCGCCTTCTAATTAATGATCCCTAGGATTAGGCGTAACAACTTATGTGACTAAAATTCTAGAAAGAAGAAGACCTGCTATCTTATCTATTCCCTGACAATAAACCCAACTCCGAAGATGCGATGTCTAACCTTTCAGCTATAGAATGTAGTATGCTATCTTTTCTCTATAATCCCATGGCCGGTCCAACGGATCTCCTGGATAGCGGCTATGTCTAATTTATACTTTTCAAGTTCTGTAAGGAGGACTTGAAGCCCTAAGGGTCAGTATAATGTCAAAATTTCCAAAAACCAAGTTTGAAGCCCATTAGACGGTGTTCATGTCTTAACAGATCGTCATTAAATCGTCCGACAATGTTTTGTTAAGATCTCATAATAGGTTGAGCAGGTATGGGTGTATACCTAGGGAAGGTGAACCTAGGATGGGTACAGTACGTGACCTTCTGCAGTGAGAGGTGTTGTAGTGTGCTGCATACAGAGTACTAGGTATGTGTGCTTGTGTAGACGCTCCCCCAACCTGGAGGACCAGTGGCTGACTGAGGTACAATGACCGTACAATGCGGCGGTCATTAAAATTAATAATTTTCGTTATTAATAGCTGAGAATAAGAATCCAGTTAGTTCGATAAAATGCTTATTAGATTGACATTAATTTCGCCCAGTACATATTCCTACTGTTAATGCAAAAGAATAATTTTCCATTTTTATTCTATTTATGCTAAAGGTGACATTTTTTAATCTCTGCAACTGCTATAAGTAGTATACTATTGTGGAAAATAGCAGATAGAGAGAGAGAAATAAAATATGAAATTATGCTATAAATCATAAATAAATAATTAGTTTATGCTCTCCTGTAAAAACTCTATTTTTACTTACGATCTTTTGCACAAACAGTAGCGATTTATTAATAAATGTTAGAATTAATCTAGTTTAGAATGATCAAAATCGAAATCTATTATCTTTTAATTATTGAAAAACAAAGAAGGGGTGATATAGAGTTTAAATACAAATACATTTCCAAATTAATATTTTAAATAGATAAAATATTATGTCATTTTTTATTTATTTATACATAATCAATTATTTGATTTTTAATAAAATAATTAGGACTATGATTTTATTTTTCATAAAACGGCATAATAAATTAATCTTTACAATCCATTAAGATCTCTGTAAGGAAGCTAAAGACTTCATGGCCAAAGACGAGGTGGTTTGAACAGTGTTCTCCAACCCATGAAGTTAAAAAACTGTATAGTAAATTGAAGATATAGTAAGACAATATGGTCTCTTCTGAGGATTAACGCTATATTAATCTTGATCTGTGGCGAATCGATCACACAGTCACCTGAAAACAAAACCTTTTATTTTGTCTCCTTGGATTAGTGAATGTTATACGGTGTGACCGGAAGTAGTGAATCTATCATCAGCGAATGACTCCCGTGGTTAGTAGACAGCTGTTAGAAGCTAAACTGATAAATATGCTTAAAATGATTCAGTACAATAAAATTAGGTTTAAAAAAAGGATAACACGATCATCCAGAAAAAACCTAATACTTATCATAAATTGTATTATTCTAAATCTATTTTAGTAAAATATATAAATATCTCCAAAATATATTCAATTAATATTTAAGAAATTCTCAAACATCCTTGATTGATTTTAAAACCAAATGGAACTAAGCTGTTAGCGAAATACCAATTTTGATTGAGACAACATAGTCAGTTAACATCTACACATTTTGGCTCTCATATCAAAATGAAACGAAAGACAAGCGACTGAAAATACTATACTACTACTACCTTTTTTCCAAATCAAAATTAAAAATATGACAACAACTAAATACCTATAGCCATGGCCAAAATCGATATGCCCGGAGGCGACAGAAAAGGAGTTAGGGATCTCGTTTCTTGTATTAAGAAAGAAAATATTGACCGGAAAGAGGCGATTTTCCAAATTAACATATCATCTGCTCATTGTAATCTGAATGACAGGTGACGATTTAGATCTGAATAGAAAAAATCTATTAATTATTATTGAATTTTTTTACTCAATATTTAAATTTGCTGACAATTAATCATTTATCATTAATCATTAATGTATGAAATAAAACTAACTTTTCCACATGATTCAACAAAATAATTATGTTCATCATTACCAGAAAGAAAATAGTCAACAAGTGTAGGTGCAATGGTTTATTTTTTGAAAATAAATCCTCAACATACTCTCTCAGCTCTATAATTAGAAGAAGCCTCTGGTGCGCGCATCACACAAATTTCACTATATTTTGAACAGAAATTCTTGTGTGGCTAAATTGGGCTATTAAAAAAAGTTTTTGATGTACTTTTTTAATGGAGCTAAACCTTAAAGAACATATTTGTGAATTAAGACCATATTTATCAATGCTAAAATTCAATAAGGCCATTAAAACAACACAAACACTATCTATTATACCGATTGAAGACAATAAAAACCTCTTGAATCACATAATTCCATCCTCTGAGCTCTATATACAAAGAGAAATTTGAAAATATAGAGACATTTTCTGGAGCACTTGAGCATTTATTAGATCATGGCCAGGGACTTTCTTTTTGGGTATTTGCTAATTTGTTCTACGACAAATAATTAAAACGTTAAATTGTTTCGCTATAGTATTTGATTTATATTCACTCATGACATTTAATGGATTCACTCTTTAAGTATGCAGTAAATATCTTTAAGTTTTAGGTTTTAAGTATGTTTAGATCATGAAAAATAGATTATTCTACTCAACTAAAACTAACAAAAAAGTATACTTCCTAATTTATTTTCATTTTTTCGAAACGACACGAAAATCCGAGATATTTGTCAATTCATTAGCCGTGGGAAAAGTCCATGACATGCACTGCAAGAATGAGCAATCACATTCTCACCCTTGCCTTAGACAATGACGTTCTCAAAGATCAAAAGAAAAAATAAGAAGTAAATCACATGAACATACATTTTATTTGACTTCTACTTGTAATTAGTTAAAAGAAAACTGTAAACGTTCTACGAACTTCATGAAACAATTATGTTTCATGTTTTTATGTTTGATGTATTTCTTTTGTCTATATTGAATTATATTGTATATTGAATTTAATTTGTCTAAGATAATGA